GGCAGATTTCCACAGCTGGGGAAGAACTCCTTGTGCCCAAATAAGATTGAAGAGGTGTAAGAGGACTACAAGGGCTGACCGATGTAAATGTTGTAACATACGAATATGAATGTCGTCAGGCCCAGCTGCCGATGATCGGCAAGCTGAGAGCGTTGCCTCTAGTTCTTGAAGTGTAAAAGGCACATTATACTGTTCTTCTCTGAGAGAAGAAAAGTCCAAGGGTACTAACTCTCTGGCAGACTTTGAGGAAAGAAACGAGGGGCATAGATGGAGCCCTCGGGAAATACGGACCAGATGTGTGCCAAGTTCAATGGCAACGTCGAGAGGGTTTGCTACATCAACACCAGCAACCCATAGGACAGGAGCCGGGTCAGGAGAGTATTTACAACTCAATTTCCTCACTTTTTTCCAGACTGCACTCATAGAAGAAGCAGAGGTGATGGTGGAAACAGTCTCGCCAACAAGTACGTTTAGCTTCACGGATGACACGGCGAGCGATCGCACGCTTCTGCTTAAAATCAAGAAGTCTCTCAGCGGTTCTATTGTACCGGTACCTGCCCCATGCAGCGCATTTCAAACGTACTGCACGAGCACAAGCAGGAGACCACCAAGGCAAGCACTTCTGAGAATGCCTGCCTGAGGTTTGGGGTATAGAATGAGTAGCTGCGGTATAAACTGACGTCGAGAAGAGGTGTAGGAGCTCATCAGTGGAGGATGAAGAAGGAACCTCACTAAAAGCAGTGAGGTGTGAGTAAAGATCCCAATTTGCCCGATCAAATTGCCAGCGAGGGCTACGGAAAGGTGGTGAATAGGAAGGAGAAGTAAGAATGATTGGAAAATGATCGCTGTCATGTAAGTCCGGTAGAACAGACCAGGTGAAGTCTAGTGTAGTGAAGGAAGAGCAGACCGATAGATCGATGCAAGAGAGAGTATGAGTACGAGGATCAAAATGGGTGGGAGTACCCGTATTTAAAACATGGAGGGGGCGAGAGGCGAGAAAAGCCTCCAACTGGATGCCACGTGAGTCACAATGAGACCCCCCAGAGAAAATGGTGGGCATTAAAATCACCAAGTAACAGAAGTGGTGGTGGTAAGGATGAAACAAGAAAGGCAAAGCCCGGGGGATAGAAAATGCTCAAGAAGGAGAGAAAATATAAAGAACATATTGTAAACCACTTATTCAAGTGGATACGGGCTGCAGTGTAATGCAGCGAAGTATGGACAAATAGTTGACAGTACGGAATATCATTGCGTAGAAGAAGGGCACTTTCATTAAAGGTCCCATCTGAGAAAGGATCCGAAGAATACAATAAATTATAGCCTGAGATAGGTTGGAAAACAGCCGAGTGTAATTTTGGTTCTTGTAAGCAAGCACCAACAGGGGAAAACCTGGAAAGCAACATCTGAAGCTCACCCCGATTACCCCTGAGGCCGCGGATATTCCACTGTAAATAGGCCATGATTGGCGATGAAGAAAAATACAGGATCTGTAGGTAAAGGCACCTATGGACTAGAGGGGTTAGAAAAGTCAACGTGTGGTGGCATTGGAAGACGTTCAAGCAGCGAAGGAACGGAGCGTTGCAAAGAACGGGGTTGTGAAGATGGAGAGGGAAGAGAAGGAACAGGAAGTAAATCAGTGTCCATTGAAGGTTTAGTCTCTGCAATATATTCTGAAATGGCTTCAAGTGTTTCTGAATTCAAAGATGTATGGGAGACCATATTGGAGATAGAAAGAGGAGGGTGAGTAAAGATTGGGACAGTAATGGACTGTACCAAAGTAGAGGGGAAGGGAAAAGTGTAAGGGACTGGAGATGAAGTGTGGGGAGGGGGGGGGACAGAAGACGCAGAAACCTGGGAGGTGGCAGAAGAGGGAGAAACTTGGGAGGGGACGGGGGTGGAAGGCATAGTACGAGGAGGAGGGTGAATCTCCACACTTTGTAATAGAGCCAGAGAGAGGGAAGACTAGGTTACAGAGACTGGAAAGGTAAAGTGTGGAGGTGGAAGAAGGGAAGGAGGGGGAAGAAGATTTGAGCAATGTGGATTTTTTGGACTTCTGAGAAGTAGAGGGGCGATTGGTATTAGGTGTCGTACGAGGTCTTGTCGATACTGGGGCTTGTGAGGAAGGACGTGAAGATGTGAGAACAGACCGAGTTGTAGTCAGGACGTCAGAGCCAAGGACAGCAAAAGGATTAGATGCCGGAGTGGCTAAGGGAGGGGTAACAACAGAGGAGGCTGCAGAAGATGGGACCCCAGAAGTGGGGGAATGTTTGGAAACACGAGAATAAGAAACACGGGGTAGTCTCCCTTGGAGGCGGAGATGAGTAACTGCCATAGCAGAAGGGAGACCTTCTGCCTCTTTGAGGCAACGAATGTCACGTTCATTTAAGTAGACCTGGCAACGGCGGGAGTACAAAGGGTGAGCTTCATGACAATTAAGGCAAGATGTATTAGAATGGTCGTCGGCACCACAGACTGGGCATTCGGCCATAGATCTGCAATATTTTGCTTGGTGACCAAAATGCCAGCAATTTCTACATTGTTGCAGTGTAGGTATCACCTTTCGAACTTGTAACCGATGTCCCGCGACATATACAGAGGACGGGAGTTCTCGGCTGTCAAAAGTTAAACGAGCCACATTGCAAGGGTAACGTCTCCGCCCCAGGGCAGGAAGGACATAAGTGTCTACTTTGAGGATTGGGAGATCCTGGAGTTCCAGCTGTTCAAGAATGTCATTGCCACATGACTGGAAATTCTGTTGGGCTATGGTATGGGGGCAGAATGACAGTACCACTACAAGAATTGAGAGAAAGATGTTTTTCAATAGTGATAGGAGTAGTATCGATATTCGAAAGGAGAGAAAGATCATGAGCTTGGGTAGCATTCTGGACAGTGATGATGCGCGTACTGCTCTTGAGAGCATGAAATGAAATATCTCTACCAACATGACGCAGGAGCGCTTTGCCAATACTATGGTCAGAAAGGTAGGCAGAAGAAGTCGGTCTTAAAGTAAAGAATTTAGTCCACTGTGTGGTCAGAAACTGAGCGTGGAGAGGGAGTGCTTGACGTGTCGGTCTTTTCCGAGTAGAATGGGAAGGTAACGAAGGAGCATCATCAGGAGATTGACATTGGCGTTTAAGAGTAGGACCGGAGTTGGTCTGGCGTGAAATGGGCGGGCGATTCGAAAATTGCCATACCGTAGAGGGAGAAGCCGGAAGCATAGTCAAAGGAGAGCGGAGTTCAGACAAATCGAAGGAGTCAGTCGAAGCCCCGGTACCTGAAGCGGGTGAGGAAACAGCACCAGCAAGAGGTACAGGGGCATCAGGAGTGTCCGAAGAGTGGTCTAAACACAAGGCAGGGTCAGAATGGGGTGCGGTATCAAGAAGGGGCCCGGGGGTAGTGGGTTCATGGATTGGGTTCTCCATGGTTAGGTTACTCCTTTGGTTTTTGTTTTTAAGAAAAAAAAGAAAGAAGAAAAGAAAATAAAAATAAAAAAAGAATAAAAAAAGGGAGCGGGGAGGAATAGTTCCCAGGAGGAATGAAAGGGCCGGAAATCTCCCTCCGCACCCAAGAGGACCTCAGCACCGCTAGTAGCGCAATTGCAGCATGGAACCCGTGCCATACCCTACCCTTCATGCCAGTAAACCAGCAATCCGGGATAGCAGCCTCACATCTGCCGAGCTACCTCGGTGGACAAAAGAGAGGGCGGCCGGATATCCGCCACAAAGCATACCTCCTTCGGCCACCACCCCCGGAATCCGAAAGGTGGCTTCCAGAGATACACCCATCGCCCGAAAGACACCCAAAGCTACTCTGGGATACCGGAGAGGGATCGGGACATCCCCAGGCGATCCAGATTCCACAGCAAACTACGCCACCGCCAAGAACCTCAACGGAATGGGATGGACCCCGGTGTCCTTTCCCCTACCTAGGAACTAGCACGCCTGTGGGAGAAATCCCAAAGGCCAAAAAGAGGAAGGGCAAAAGGGAGGGGTGGGGAGGAGGAGGAGGAATGGAAAAAGGGGAGGATGGGATAGGGGAGGGGAGAATGGGAGGTAATTAGGTTCGGTCTGAGGAAGAAGACATACAGGTCTAATTCCTCAGACCAAGAGCCTCTTCACCACGCCAAGGAGCCCCCCTTGAAGAGGTTGAGGTGTTGAAGATAGTTTCCATGTTACAGTTCATACACGGTAGTTACTTATATATTCCTCTCCTGTATCACTACTAGTTGTCATCCGAAACTCACATTACGAAAAACAATCGTGTGGTAACTGTGGCCTTTGAGTATTTGTGTGTCATTGTTGAATCAATCATCTCCCTGCCTCTCCATCACCAAACTCAGCGAAAGCGCTTTGAACAAATCCAGCGAGGTTTCAAAAAGCAATTGGTCACGTATTTTCAAGGTTGTGTTGTCTCTCCTGGTGCTCTTGAGGGTGTTGATCTACAGCCCAGAGATTATTATTATAATCATAGGGGAGCACTAAACCTGTAGGATTATACAGCACATGGGGGGGGGGTGGAAGGTATTCAGGCTCAGTTCAGGGAACCGGAGCACAGATCCAATTCCCTAGATCAAGAGCCCCTCACCAGCGTCAAGGAACCTCCCTTGACGGGTATCTGGGATTGACGAGGGTGTTAACCTATGTCACTTTTGTGTTAAGGGTTTTGAAACTCCAGCTCCTCTATTATTATTATTATAATCAAAAAGAAGCGCTAAGCCACAAGGACTATACAGCGCTGGCCAGCTCCTCTAACTCTTGAGGATTGAGAGGTACAAGGAAAAGGAGGCTGGGGATGCATTTTTCGGATCGCAGTGACCGAAACCTATCTAGTTACAAGCGCTGAACCAGTGTGGCCATTCAGGGCTTTTCCATAGAGTAAAAAAAAATTGATATGTAGATGGACAATATTTGGATAGTAACACCAAGTATCTTTTAATAATAATGCACAGTTAAAATTCATCTTTTGGAGCGTTGATTAAAGCTGATGTGTCTTATTTTCAGAACTTGTTGCTGTTGCACCTTCAGAGGAAAAGAGACGACCACCTACGTACCATCCAGTCCCAGTTGTTGCTGTTTGAATCACAGCTGCGGAGGCGACAAAAGGAGGTGGAAATGTTACTTCAACAGAAGGATGCCACTATACGTCAACAGCAACACATTATCATCTCCCTCTCCAGGGCCCTAAACAACCAAAATATGAAACAAGTGACTGAAACTTCCAACAATAAAACAAAGCAACAAATTTCCAAGACTCCCAGTGATACTAAAGAATTAAAAGATGGTGAGAACAATCAAAATAGTGATAAATTTTCAGGCTTTCTTATTACATCGACAAAGAATGACCTGGAAAGCCTGAACGATAGTGACAGTGCAATCATGCTTGAGGACAACTTCGACTCCCTAGTGTTGATACCTATGGGAAAGGGAGAAGTTAAAGTTGTGAGGAGTGTGTCTGACGCTGTAGAGGTGGCGAGCAGGTCGTCCTGCTCAACAGCTGTGCCTCCTGTAGGGTCACTAACAGCTTCAGGTAGTAGTACTCTTCCGAAGCCAGGTTTCAGCTCTGGTACCGGGCCAGGCTCGCTATCTACATCACCTTCTTGTTCTAGTGAAGAAAGCGATGATAGCCCAGCGTGTACGTTAAAGAAGGGTCATGCAGAACTATTACGAACTGTTTATAGCTTAGAGGAAGAGGAAGTATGCCATACACACCAAGACCACAACTTATTAGAGGATACAGTTTCACTGACTGCTTCTCTTACACCTTCTGTTACTCCATCATTACAATCCATTCTCAAAGTTACCTCACATTATGATTCTGATGCCACGCTGAGTGACGGAGAGAGCGAGGACGAGGAGGAGGACAGCGTACCCCATCTCGATGACTCTGCCAGTGACAGACGCAGACTTCTGGGATCCTACGAAAAACTTAATACCCTGGGTGTGGCTCCTATCAAGGTGAAGGCAGAGGAGGAGATCCAGGTTACTTACAATCGTGTCATGAGCAATCACAGATCTGTTACCAAACCCAAAGATGTTAAATACCGGCGCATCAACAAGGCGAAGTCGAGATCGCTGGAGGAGCTGAGAGGGAAGCTTAAATACTGGACTGATAGAGGAGGAAAGCAGTCACTATCAGTGGACCTAGATAATCATTCCTACGCTTGATGGAGGGGAATGCGAGGCTCTCTTATCCTTAAGGGTTGAGTACAAGGGCCAACACTCCTAGGTGGTCAGAGAAATTTGACCTCCCAAGGAGACTCCTGTCCCCAGGGCATCAATGTGGAAATTAATATTAAAAAAAAAAAAAACTATTGAAGCGAGGTACATAGTGTCTTCATATAAGGAAGTATTGATAATCTTCTCATCTAAATAATTTTCACATGAATTTTTTTTTCTTAAGATCTACGATACACGAGGCATTGTTACTATATTTATAGTCTGTTGGTGTGTGGCTGCTACCGATTATAGTATAGAACAGTAATTCAACCATTCCCTTTCCCTCCCGTTACCAAATCATACAGAATGTTTGGGCTCTCTTCTGTGACCCACCCTAGGCTGCCACTATTATTGTCAGTGAGAACTTTTACTTAGTGAAATGTTATACTCTCTCATATGAACCATTAAATCAAAAAAGTTCTGGAAATGGGCAAATTAGGTAAAATTATCTCCCTGAAGGCATTTTTGTAGCTTCAAAATTTAATTAGCAGTAATATGTTACAAGGTTTGTTGTATAAAGTCAGTCATGACCAGAGTTTCGGAATTGGCAAGTCAGCCAGAAAGACGCTGACTTCACCCTCTGCCCTAACTAGTCTCATTGTTTAGTGAACAAGACATTCTGCTTTATCTTAGATGCATCCTTAGCCAACTTGTTTGTTTGCGGTACAGTGACCTAATACTTTTGTGAATACTTTTCGTATTTTTCCAAATTTTTGTGTATAAACTTGACCACACCTATAATGGGACCAGAAATGCTGGAACACAAACTATGTCCCTGGTACAGCACTCCTAAGGGTGCCCTGCAGCCCATGGGATCAGTGACCACAAGATAGCTGCTCTCACCCTAACATTCTCTACATATTTGTACTTTTGTGATGGGTCCTCGGCACAGTACTGTGAATTCGCCCATAGCAATAAAATTACAAGGGTACATTAACTGTAAATTGCTTAGCTTACCAAATTAAAGTATTCAGCCACATTCATGGGAACAAATGCAAATCTAATGCACCATGCTGATCATAGATTGTTGCTAAAACAGTAAGATTTTCTACAGAATTATTAATGTGCAGATGATCTTCCAATATTACTTAGGAACTGCTAAACTCATAGGGGTCATACAATGCCTGAGGCAATCAGGTTTGATTCAAGGGAGGATAAGTACAATTCCTGGAATCTAAGATCCACTACAAAGGCATCAAGGAACCTCCCAGGGGAAGATCTCCCGGTAGCTGAAGTTATTGGAAGGTTCTTTGATGCAAGAAATTGAACCTGTCCTCTTCTCTGGATTATCCTGATTGCCTCCCATTTCCCCAGGCACATTTTGACCCTATGGTTCAAGTGTTTATCCCTTGGGGAAAAAATGGCAGCAAGAATTATACAATGGTCAGTAGCTTTTGAGGTACTGCAACCTTGCAGCTATGAAACCAGGATGTGTGTGTCAAGACTAGACTAGGCTAGCCTTACAGATCCTACTAGTAGCCTGAGGACCCACCACGATCTCATTTGTTTCATTTCCTCTCCTGTATCACCTACCTTTATCTAACCTACTAAGTCTTCCTCAATCATCCTATTATCTGCTGAGGTTGCTGAAGCTTTAAATGTATTTTTTAATCTTAGTGCAAAGTCTAATATGTTCCTGTGAATTTTCACACTCGTGTATGTATTGTATATATACAGTATTTGATAATTGTGATATGTATTGTAATTAAAAATAATGACAAGTTATGATGGTGTGATTTCAAAATAGTGTAATCGAACAGCCACCCCCTTCAAAATTCGTGTGCCATTTTGCCAGCATCAGACTATCCCTATGTGACTGCTTTATTTGCAACACAGCCAACATGGAATGCAAAAGATAGTGGGGCGAGGACTCAAAGTTTGAGATAGATTGTGATGCATCTTGGTAATCTGCAATTATATTATAATAAAAAAATAAGCGCTAAGCCACAAGGGCTATACAGCGCTGCAGGGTAGGGAAGGAAGCGAGGGTATTGGGCGGCAGAAGGGGGGAGGGATGATCAGTAGGTTACAGAAAACAGCGGGGAAGGGGATAGTGCGGGGGTAGCAAGAGATTGAGGTAGAAAGGGCTGAAGGTATCCGAGTTTGTGAAGTCAGTCATTTGTTGTCAAAAAGTCAATGAGAGAGTCCGGATGAAAGGTGGGTCCATCAGCGAGAAGGGAAAGTAAAGAGAGCAGCGGAGCGAAGACGGCGACGGAGGTAAATTCCGTGCTCGTTGATAAAGTGGGCAGTCTAACAGAATGTGGCTGACTGATAATGGAACCTGACAGTTCTCACAGAGGAGCAGGGCGCCTCTCCATGAGATATCCACGAGTAAGACGAGCATGGCCAATGTGAAGACGGGAGAGAGTAGTCTCCCAACCTTGACACTGGTGACAAGAAAACGGCCAGTAACCTATACTCGGTTTAATAGATTGAAGTTTGTTACCGAGCATAGTAGACCAACGTTGTTGCCAACGGGTGTGAAGGCGGGTAGCTATTGCAGCAAAATAGTTTGTAAATGGAATACCTCTATATGAAACTGGTAGGTCACGTACTGCTGACCGCGCAGCAGTGTCTGCCTATTCATTGCTCTGTACGTCAACATGACCAGGGACCCAACAAAAAACTATCTTATGCTTGGTAAAGATGCGGCATAGCCAAAGTTGGATACGGAGGACTGAGGTGCATCAAATTTCTGTATAGCCTGTAAAGCACTAAGGGAGTCTGAGACAACCACAAATGATGACACAGGCATAGATGCAATACGGATAAGTGCTGCAAGAATGGCATATAATTCATTATTATTATTATTATAATCAAGGGGGAAGTGCTAAACCCGGAGGATTATACAGCGCCTGGGGGGGGGGGGATGTGGAAGGCATTCAGGCTTAATTCGGGGAACTGGAGCACAGATCCAATTCCCTAAATCAAGAGCCCCTCACCAACATCAAGGAACCTTCCTTGAGGGGGCATACAATTCAGCAGTATTATTATTATAATGAAAAAGAAGCGCTAAGCCACAAGGACTATACAGCAAATTCAGCAGTAAAGATACTAGCCGAAGATAGTAAATGCTTTCGTACGACGCTGTCCGGAAACACTGCTGCGAATCCTACGCCGTCAGAAGACTTAGAGCCATCTGTGTACACTGCAATGGCATGATAATGAGAGTGGAAGTGGTTAAGAAAAAGAGAGCGGGAAGCTACCGTAGACAGTTGGGCTTTCGAGCAAGGGAGTGAGAAAGAACAGACTCGAACAGCTGGAACTTCCCAGGGGAGTAGGGAAAAGTGAGATGCTACATGAACATAGAAAGGTGGTAATTGAAGAGAAGACAAGAGCGAATGTAGGCGAAGGGAGAACAAATAATGTCTACTAATATCGGTGACCATTCTATAAATGGAAGGATTGCGGAGATCATGAGAGCGTACATAGTAGCAAAATGGTCTTTGAAAGAAAGGTCAGCTGATAATTATTCCCAAGTCTTTCACACGTTCCTTTCGTTCAGTTTGACGATTCTTTTCAGTTTCATATACAGTGTTCCTTTTGATTATAATAAAAAAGCGCTAAACCACAAGGGCCATACAGCACTGCAGTGTTCCTTTGGAGTTCAGTCTTTCCATACCAAAGTAGCTGGAACTTACCACCACTGAACGTCGTGTCCTTCACTGCCCAGTGGAAAACTGTATCTTTTCTTGTAATTTTTCAGTGTCTTTTACCATAGTGACTTTCATACTTATTTTAGTGTTCTCTGCAAATGATACAAAACTGTGACTGTTGTTTTTATCTATGTATGATATGAGGATGAGAAATGGCAGATTATTATAATCAAAAAAGAAGCGCTAAGCCACAAGGGCTAAGAGAAACGGCAAAGGTGCCAGGACAGAACCATTGGAAGCGAACTCCTTACCTCGTTGATGCTGGATTTTGCTGTTTACTACTGCTTTGTGTTGTGTGTGTTAGGAACCCGAAAATCTACCTGCCTACCTTCCCTGTAATGCCTACGGCCCTCATTTTGTATGCTATCACTCCATGATCACATTTGTGAAACTACCGCATTGTACGCTCCAGCAGGCATGCCAGGGGGTTGAAGCATGTCAACCTACAACTGGGGCTGATACAATCAGCCCCAGTTGTAGGTTGACAGTTTATCAGTGCTGATGTTTAAGGGTAAAAGGTTTATAAATGCGAAGTAAAATCCATACAACATTCACGTGGGGAAGTGCTAAAACCTGTAGGGGTTGTACAGTTTTAGGGGTAAGGAAGGGCAATCAGGTTCAGTCTAAGGGGAGGTCAAATCACATTCCTTGGTTCAAGAGCCCCTACCATCAAGGAACCTTTGGAGGAAAAATCCAGTGGCTTAATTCCCATGTGGGTTTGAAGTGAACTCAGGAAAACCAATGTAACCCATAGAAGAGATATGTTACATCAGTAAGGCTAACATTACTCACTCCAAATGAGAGGTTAGTAAACAGAAAATTCAAAGATCAATATAAATTAAAGCCCCCAGTATTTAAGAGATGTCAAGGGGTGAAAGAAAATTCAAACATGTCAATAAAGGTTAAAATTAGACCCTAGAAAGAAAAATGATGACAATTAAAATGGCAAAAAATAGGAGTCATTCAGGCAAAGATGAAACCAAGGTCCACAGGTAATCTAATACAGAAGTGATCAATTCATTCACTGCATATAAATCAATCATAACAAGTACAGCTGAAGTCTCTTTCACATTCCACATCTGTAACTGTCATTGGCCCTTACACTTTAGGTATGAACCACTTAAACCTCACTGCCATATTTGGGTGATCCCGCATCAGGGGGCATGAAGGTGGTCTGCAATATAAAGAAGAAATTGCTTAAAAAAAAAAAAAAAAAAAAAAAAAAAAAAAAAAAAAAAAAAAAAAAAAAAAAAAAAAAAAAGCTACTGTGGTAAATGTTACTCCTTCATTAACTCATGTATGCTGATTCCAAATCAAGTCATAACTGGCACAACACCTCAGGATTTTTGTCACATTAAATTTTTTTATGCAATATTTATTTGAAAGCCAAACACACTGCACAACTGACAATATAAAGCTACTTGATTGTCATCATGAATACTTTAAAAAAAAAAAAAAAAAAAAAAAAAAAAAAACATGCATTTTTCCAGGTACTGTTCATTAAAGTATCAAGTGCACTGCATAACATATATATGCAAGCTGTTAAAATGTTGACAGTTCTCATTGTTTATACAACAAAAACTGCAAATTAAACAGCTTCACAAAATTCATTATGTAGATGAATGGTTCAGAGAACCGACAAATTAATAAATTAGACACATGTGCAACACTTGGGTATCTTTACTGAGGAAACGTTTCGCCACACAGTGGCTTCATCAGTCCATACAAAGGAGAACGGGGAGGAACAGTAGTAGTTTGAGGTAATCAGTTCCTCAGCCTTGAGTTGATGTAGTCAGTCCATCAATCTTGAAAAGAATACAGCACATCTACGAAGACGTAGCTTATATACCGTAGGCAGGAGAGGTGCAGCAGTTGGTGGTGGTATCACATTTGTCCAATGTGGAAGTAGGTCATGCCCAAGGGCTAGGCAAGTGAAGAATTCCCTGTACGAAGATCCCAAGATGTTGCTGTGTCCGACAGGAATGAAGACGAAGATACCGAAGTGTTGCACGTGTCTAATTTATCAAAATTTATTATTATTAAAATATTCATGGAAATGCTTAACCAAAAGGAATTATATAGACGATAAAAAACTGCAATTAGTATTTACTTGCATAGCTAATAAAGACTGGTCACACAGCCACACACATCTTGAGAAAGCTTGTTTCCTCTAGGCTGGAACTCTCCATCTTCTTGAGTGACATGAAGAACCTTCTACAAAAGTGATTTCATATGTTGTTGAAGACTTTAAAGACAAAGGAGTACAAACAAGGTGACAATATGTACTACTGTATTGAGTTAGGATTCCATTGTATTCGTACAATCGATTGTGTTGGAAAAATAAAAACAGACCAGCTTGGCAGCATGAGCACAGCCTAGAGAAAGAACCATCAATGGGAAAAAGGGGATACCCCTACTCCTCCTTTTGGTAGCAGTTCCAGTCAACTGGCCAGTCAGACTATAGTATACATGTACCTCGTATTAAGTGGTAAGCAGTTTAATTCACATAATCATAAATTATTCTATCCACAGAGCACATAAAATCATTGTGGATCATTCAGCACTTTACAGCAGAAGCACTGACATTAGAATGGAAGGTAAGCAAAATGGCAAAACAAGAAGTCATAATTTTTGCAGTAAATCAGCTTCCATTAAGAACCTGAAACAAATCTGTACTAAAAAAGGTGAGATTTTAAGGAGGCAGAATGTATGTTAAGGAATTAAAGAAGTCATAAATGAAGCAGACATGCTACCTGATAAAGGGAAGAACCTATCTAAAGATGCTGGACAGTTGGCACATCCTGACAATTTTCAAAGTGATACTGGGCACTCTTATTCCTTTATATCTTTGAAGAGTTCTGAGAGTCTTTTTCCTCCCAGAGCCCTTGCCATGGCAATGTTTCTCAAGTGTACCTAATATGCAGTCACAAAATGAGTTTCCCTTCAACCACCAGCAATAAAAAAAAAGGTTAGCTAGATGCTCAACTGCAGTTTAATTAAGATTGTTGGTAATAGCAAGCAAGCTTTCATTTCCCATGAAATATGAAAGTCTGCTTAAAATTTCAGTCTGACAGGACTGCTGTGTGTATCTCATTAACATGCAAGATAGCATGTAAATCTTACGAACTACTTCCTCTATTCAGCATATGCATCTTTACTTTCCTGTATCTTAGCCCTTTCACTGTTGTGACTCTCAAAATTAAAAATACCATCAACCCACTAAAATACAACATTTAAAAAGGTTATTCTGGATTTCCACAACATTCACATAAGTGGCAGCCAAGTTATTTACCATTTTGCAAACTGGGACAGTAAAACCATACAGAAGAGCACTTTGAATAGGAAATGACAAGGTGCCTCTACATTATCAAGTTAATTTTGGAAAAATTAAACCATGTGAGGCAACCTAACTGGAAGTACAATCAAAAGCACACTGTAATGAAGCAGCCATGAGCCAACCTCCCACACCTGCATAAGCAATGGTTAAATCATTAATATACTGTACAAGATAGAACAAATCCCACGGACTACAGAGGCAAGTATGTTGATGGCTATTTGGAACAAGGTAGGAAAGTACACATACTTGCAGTACATTTTCAGCTTGAACAAAGTCTGAAGAAAGAAAGAAAGAAAGAAAAAAGAAAAAAACGACCCAAACACATTAAATCAAATAAAATGAGTATCAAAAAGAGGCTCGAGAAAAAGTGGTAGCAAACTTTAGAGCCAAAAGAATGCCTTCTCTAGGAAGAAAAAGATGCCCCTAACAAATTTGAAAATGAATGGTTCAGAGAACCGACATGTTGATAAATTAGACACATGTGCAACTCTTGGGTATCTTTATTGAGGAAACGTTTCGCCACACAGTGGCTTCATCAGTCTGATAAAGCCACTGTGTGGCGAAACGTTTCCTCAATAAAGATACCCAAGAGTTGCACATGTGTCTAATTTATTATCATGCCCCTAACAAACTGACATTTAACAAGTGCATTGTAAATGTATGTATGAAGAGTCGAGGTTCTATGGTGGAATCACAGGTTTCCATTTTGTTTTTGAAAATGTCAACAAAACGTGCATTAAATTTTCTCTTAGATAAAATTTAATAAATTTTAAATACACAGTTTTTCCTGTCAAGTTAATGGAAAAATTGTACTTTAATTATTTACCTTCGTCTCATTTTTATCCAGTATAAAATTACTATTATATTCATAAAAGTAATAAACTGCTGTGGGTAGAATTACCTGCAATAACTACAGTATATTAATTTACTGAATATGACGCTATTCGATTATTAAATTCACATTGTAATAAGGAGAGACAAACACTATATCATGTTCATTACAGTCTGCGAGTGTTTGCAGTGAAACTTTATTGCAGAATACATTGGTCTTTTCAACTGCCTTGAAACATTGCACACATTGTCTGTTCGGAAAATGACTTCATTTCAGCAATGAATTACTAAGAGAAATGCCTTCAGAATACAGTGAATCATTTACAGGTATGGCAATGAACAAGTATAAGTAGCTGACTGTGTTGTCCCCAGATTGAACGAGTAACCAGGTAAAATAAAAAAAAAAAAATCAAGAAATTAAATAATCCTTCCATATCTACATCTTTCAGAAACATATACCCTCATGTTTTGGAGTGTTCTCTCCACTGGAATAATTATAGTCATATCACATATAAACCTTGATGGAAGACGACACCTATACCTCCACAATATTGACTGTACTTACATAACCAAAAACTTAGAAACTTACCAGAATTAATTAGTGAAGAAAGCTAACACTTCTGAATATTCATTCACAGCACTGTATTCTGTGGCTATCCCTGATGCTGTTAACAAAGGAGCAAATGTTTTGAGTTACTGAGGTTATCTGCTAACAGCATGAGTGAGGTCTATGATACATGGCAGAGCTGCCTGGCGACGGCAGCTGTTACTTCTATTTAACATGATACAATCACCTGGTAACAGATTGATGAAATGTTATGAGATTAAGTCAACAGCAAGGGTGAGATAGTACTGCTTACAGTTCATAAAATTCTATAAACAGCTGGGAGTGATTGTTTAGACAGATGAAGCAGACGTTCCTCCAGAGCACTGAAATGAAGGGAAAAACAAGGCCTTTGTACGTTGATCAGAACAGAAGGCAGCTCAAAGCTGCAATAATAAGCCTGTATAATGCTTGAATGCTGTCTTTAATAAAATAAATTTAATAACAGTACCCAAAAAATTTTACATACATCATACAAGTTTTGCATACGAAATCAGAGTATCAACTAGAGATTTAAGTTGATTATACATGACAATATTCCGTTAAGAAAAATTAGCATTCTCATCCAAACACAAGCAAAAATATAACTCAAGATTTGTACAGGCTCATATAGGCAGCTAACATAGGAGGCAATTAAGCAGCAGCCCCCATAAAGAAATATACAGATGAAAAGCAATAAGATGGTGCTTCAACAAGTCACCAACCAATTAACAAAAAATAAAAAAGGGTGGGTTCTACAACACAGTTAAATGAAGCTCATTACGAGCTCCATTACCATTAATCCCCAAGACATCAAGACTGAAAAGGATTGCAGGCTAACTCATGGCAGTGTGTCAAAGACACCACATTCACACACAATCCACTGGGCACACTGTCCTATTAGCTGTCATATGCTGTGAAGCACATCTGATGCATATATGGTTATGCATACATAAATAAATTTGTGTGGCTTACTTTAGTTAACCTTCCAAAGGTAGTCTGTGAGCTGTTTCAGGTCACCGAGAGCATGGCTGAGAGCTACCAATTAATGGACAGCTTAGTTCAAATAATCTTTGGTTTATGCACATTACAGAAGAGATCTGATGAAAATATTTTCATGTATAAGTCTCTAAATATTTTTATATAGGGAAATGCTCCCAAAGCAGCAGAACAGTTTTTGGAGTGAATATTTAGAGCACTAGTATCTGGAAGTTTTTCATATCTGGAGCAACGAGCCAGCAAACACGCACATAAACTCGTGCACTTGAATTACGCTTTTCACTAGATCTTTCCTGGTAGTTAAATATTTTCTGAAACATTTCACTGCACTGTACACATTAAATTTTTTGATTCTCAACAGATGACATAACCATTACAAAGATACTAGATACTCACTGTTACACAAAACTACTTAGTTCTCTTGGGAATACAGCAGAGCATGTAACTGCAGAAATTCAACTCTGCACAACAAAGTAACACAGCCTAAATAACATGTCAACAGTGGGCCCAGTTCACACCTATCTGGGACAAAGTGCATACAGCAAATGCAGGCAGTAGAGAAGCTAGCTGAAAAGTCTGGCAGCGAACATTATGTGAAAAGATTATTTGCTCAAAATCTTTAGGAGGAAGATTTGAGGCTTATTTATACTTGGTGATCTGAGTTCGAATAAAATTACCTTTAATAAGACACCACTATATCAGGCTAGAAATTACCACTGGTTATACTCCAGTAATATATGTAGTAGTTAGATGTAACCACATTGCACAGACAACTATAATGACCATATGACTTTAATGTTATCACACTGTAGTGCTGCTACCAAACCTCGTCTCTGTCCACTTCACAACTGCAGGTTAGCCTTGGGAGAAGGATGTTGGAATGGTGTTGCCACAAACAGTTTTTAATGATCATTAATAAGGGGAAAACAACAAATCTCAAGAATTTTAACAAATTTTTCTTTATAAATCTTCAAAACAAGTACTCTGTACAAAAACATTAAGATACACAATTAGTAATTTTTTTTAACAATTAATGGCAACATCAATAGTACCCATCTAGGCTTTGTACACTGAGGCACCACTGCTACAGTCTTTGAGAGAATTCCAATAGGAATGCCCTGGTCTACCACCTAATTGACCAGCTTCTGATGGGGGCATTTATAATATGTAAAGCAGCCTCCACAAGATGCCATAGTCCTCCCCATAAGTCCTTCTATTCTTGTCCTTAACTTTAGACCACTGGGGAGTTGCACCTTTAAGTAGGTCTTTACTACTATAGTTCATGAGACTAGAAGATTTAAAAGACACTTTATGGAGGTAAATACCTCAAGCACAGCGTGTTAAGTATCACAATATGCAGGAAAACACGGTGCATTTGCATCTTTAAATGTTTGTATGAGCAGCAGAAGCCAAACGATATATTTCACCATATATATTTTTTACATCCCAAGTTAAGTGTTTCTGGACCGGACAACAGAATAACTGGATACACTCCCGACAAAACCTGCTCCAAAGTAGTAGTCTTCTTTGAAGAGGAATAACAAGATCACAACACGAATCACTGTATTGATGAGTTATTTTTCACAATTCGTTCTCTTAAGTTTGGAAAACACTGTTTTAAATTAGTGTTAATAAGAGCATATTCATAAGTATTAATACCACTCCAGTATATTTTATAAATAACTTTGTTTAAAGACACCTGAGGTGGTGAAATGCTTATACACCCTTACTCGTACATAAATCAGTCATTTCTTGCATGATACTCTGTATAACAATTTATTAGGCAGAGATCATCTTTGGGGGATATATTGTATAAATATTACAAATTCCTCCGAGTCACTGTGGCCTGAGATATTTAGACTCTTGTCTGCCATTTATGAAGTCTTCTATACAGTATTTTTATTATTAATTTGCAGACTTTTTCAAGTCAATATTTCACATAATTTACATGTTATGTACAGTATATCCACAAACTTTTTTAAAAAGTGTTCTTTCCACACTGTTACAAGATGATGCAACATGCACACATTTATTAGCTAGCCAGTCACTGATAACGATCACCATCTGGAGTTTGCATATTTTGCAATTATCTTGTAAAGGCATTCAGTATATAGGGAAACAATTCCCCTTATTTCTTTTCCCTGCCCCTAAGGCACACAAAGTTGCACACCCAAATTATGCTTCTTCTGTGCTCGCAGCAGCTCTCCAGTACTGGATGTTCTTAGGGTCCTCTTCCATTAACCGTAACGTCACTACCCATTCTGCAATAAGAAAAAAATAGAATGTTTATTGTGAAGTGAGAGGCAGAAATACCAGCCAGCAGTGTTTGTAAAAACTCAGCCTCCAACAAACATTAGCCTATTATTATTATAAAAAAAAAAGAAGCGCTAAGCCACAAGGGCTATACAGCGCTGCAGGGTAGGGAAGGGAGGAGGGATGATCAGTAGGTTACAGAAAACAGCGGGGCAGGGGATAGTACGGGGGTAGCAAGAGATTGAAGTAGAAAGGGCTGAAGGTATCAGAATTTGTGAAGTCAGTTGTTGTCAAAAAGTCAACAAGAGAGTCCGGATGAAAGGTGGGTCCATCAGCGAGAAGGGAAGGTAAAGAGAGAGCAGCGAATTATTATTATTATTATAATCAAAAAGAAGCGCTAAGCCACAAGGGCTATACAGCGCTGCAGGGTAGGGAAGGAAGCAAGGGAATTGGATGGCAGAAGGGAGGGGGGATGATCAGCAGGTTACAGAAAACAGCGGGGCAGGGGATAGTACAGGGGTAGAGGGTAGCAAGAGATTCAAGTAGAAAGGGCTGAAAGTATCAGAATTTGTGAAGTAAGTCAGTCGTTGTCAAAAAGTCAATGAGAGAGTCCGGATGAAAGGTGGGTCCATCAGCGAGAAGGGAAGGTAAAGAGAGAGCAGCGGGGCGAAGACGACGACAGAGGTAAATTCTGCGTGCTCGTTGATAAAGTGGGCAGTCCAACAGAATGTGGCTGACTGATAATGGAGCTTGGCAATTCTCACAGAGAGGAGCAGGGCGCCTCTCCATGAGATATCCATGAGTAAGATGAGTATGGCCAATGCGAAGACAGGAGAGAGTATTCTCCCAACCTCGACACTGGTGATAACAAGACGGCCAGTAACCTATACTCGGTTTAATAGATTAAAGTTTGCTGCCGAGCATAGTAGACCAACGTTGTTGCCAACGGGTGTGAAGGTGGGAAGATATTGCAGCAAAATAGTCTGTAAATGGAATACCTCTATATGAAACTGGTAGGTCATGTACTGCTGACTGCGCAGCAGTGTCTGCCTGTTCATTGCCCTGTACATCAACATGACCAGGGACCCAACAAAAAACAATATCTTTATGCTTGGTAAAGATGCGGCATAGCCAAAGTTGGATACGGAGGACTAAGGGGTGAGGTGTATCAAATTTCTGTATAGCCTGTAAAGCACTAAGGGAGTCTGAGACAACCACAAATGATGACACAGGCATAGATGCAATACGGGTAAGTGCTGCAAGGATGGCATACAATTCAGCAGTAAAAATACTAGCCGAAGATAGAAAATGCCCTCGTACGACGCTGTCCGGAAACACTGCTGCGAATCCTACGCCGTCAGAAGACTTAGAGCCATCTGTGTACACAGCAATGGCATGAGAATGAGAGTGGAAGTGGTCAAGAAAAAGAGAGCGGGAAGCGACCGTAGACAGTTGGGCTTTCGAGCAAGGGAGAGAGAAAGAACAGACTCGAATAGCTGGAACTTCCCAGGGGGGTAGGGAAAAGTGAGATGCTACATGAACATAGAAAGGTGGTAATTGAAGAGAAGACGAGCGAATGAAGGCGAAGAGAGAAGGGACGGAGTAAACAGGGGCGGCGAACAAATAAAGAATGTCTACTAATATCAGTGACCATTCTATAAATGGAAGGATTGCGGTGATCATGAGAGCGTACATAGTAGCGCAGGCAATGGGCATCACGGCGATCGGATAAGGATGGAACGTTCGCTTCTGCATAGAGGCTCTCGACAGGGGAAGAGCGAAAAGCACCAAGGCATAAACGTAATCCTTGGTGATGAATGGGGCTAAGACTAGAGAGAGTAGCAGGAGATGCCGCTGAATAGATCTGGTCACCATAATCAAGTTTCGATAAAATAAGGGTGGAATGTAGGCGAAGGAGGGTTCGACGATCAGCTCCCCATGAAAGATGAGCAAGGGCTTTAAGAAGGTTCAGCCGGCTGTGACAAGTTGCCTTCAGAGAGGTAATGTGAGGTTTCCAGGATAACCTACGATCAAAGAGGAGGCCCAGATACTTGACTGTATCACGTTCAGGGATACGGGAGCCATAGAGGTACAAAGGATGATCGGAGATGACAGAGCGTCTAGTGAAAGTAATTTGGTGGGTTTTAGTGCTGGAAAATTTAAACCCACGTGTGGTGGCCCAATTGGAAACACGGTCGACTGCATGTTGGAGAGAAACTGTAATGAGGTGACAGTCAGCGCCTGCACAGGCAATAGCGAAGTCATCAACATATGGTGATGACCAAATATGTGATGGAAGACTAGAGGCCAAATCATTAATAGCAAGGAGAAAAAGTGTTGTGCTCAGAACACATCCCTGGGGGACACCTTCAGCTTGGATAAAGTCTGGGGAGAGCACATTATTAACCCGAACACGGAAATGCCTGTCAGTTAAAAAGTTCTTAAGGAAGGATGGAAGATTGCCTCGAAGGCCTAAGGAGTGGGCTTGGGCTAAAATATTATACCTCCAAGTTGTGTCATATGCCTTCTCAAGGTCAAAAAATATGGCAATAACTGAGTGGTTATTCGCAAAGGCATTACGAACATACGTATCCAAGCGTAGTAGGGGGTCTATGGTAGAACGTCCCTTACGAAAGCCATATTGACGAGTGGAGAGACTGTTGTGTGTCTCTAAATACCACACTAAATGTCTATTTACCAGGCGTTCCATCACTTTGCAAACTGCACTGGTAAGAGCAATGGGACGATAGTGGGAGGCTTCATGTCCCGTAGTGCCTGGTTTGCGGAAGAACTCCTTGTGACCAAATAAGATTGTAAAGGCGTAATAGGACTACAAGGGCTGACTGATGTAAATGTTGTAGCATACGAATGTGAATGTCGTCGGGCCCAGCTGCCGATGATCGGCAAGCTTAGAGTGTTGCCTCCAGTTCTTGAAGTGTAAAAGGCACATTATACTGTTCTTCTCTGAGAGAAGAAAAGTCCAAGGGTGCTAACTCTCTGGCAAACTTTGAGGAAAGAAACGAGGGGCATAGATGGAGTCCCTGGGAAATACGGACCAGATGATTGCAATTTCATTGGCAACATCTAGTGGGTTTGCTATATCAACACCGGCAACCCGCAGAACAGGAGCCGGGTCAGGAGAATATTTACCACTCAGTTTTTGTACTTTTTTCCAGACTGCACTCATAGAGGAAGCAGAGGTGATGGTGGAGACAATCTCGCCAGCAAGTGCGTTTAGGGTCACGGATGACACGGCGAGCGATCGCACGCTTCTGCTTAAAATCAATAAGTCTCTCCGTGGTTCTATTGTACTGGTACCTGCCCCATGCAGCGTGTTTCAAACGTACTGCACGAGCACAAGCAGGAGACCACCAAGGCACGCATTTCTGAGAATGCCTGCCCTAAGTTTGGGGTATACAATTAGAAGCGGCGGTTAAAATGGAGGACGAGAAGAGGTGTAAAAGCTCATCAATGGAGGACGAAGAAGGAACCTCTCTTAAAACAGTTAGGTGTGAGTAAAGGTTCCAATTTGCCTGATCAAATTGCCAGTGTGGGATGCGAAGAGGTGGTGAATATGAAGAGGAAGTAAGAATGATTGGGAAATGATCGCTGTCATGTAAGTCCGGGAGAACAGACCAAGTGAAGTCAAATGCGGCGGAGGAAGAGCAGACTGAGAGATCGACGCAAGAGAGAGTGAGAGTCCGAGGATCAAAATGGGTGTGAGCACCTGTATTTAAAACATGGAGGGAGTGGGTGGCAAGAAAAGCCTCTAACTGAATGCCACGGGAATCACAGTGAGACCCCCCCCCCCCCCCGAGGAAATGATGGGCATTAAAATCGCCAAGTAACAGAATCGGTGGCGGTAATGACGAAACAAGATAGGCAGTATCCGGAATAGATAATGCCCGAGAAGGAGAGAGATATAAAGAACAGAGCGTATACCACCTATGCAAGTGGATACAGGCTGCTGTGTAATGTAGCGAAGTACGAACAAATAGTTGATGGTACGGAATATCATTGCGTAGAAGAAGGGCACTTTCATTAAAGGTCCCATCAGGAAAAGGATCTGACGAATACAATAAATTATAGCCTGAGATGGGAGAGATAACAGCAGAGTGTAATTTTGGTTCCTGTAAGCAAACACCAACAGGGGAAAACTGGGAGAGTAACATCTGAAGCTCACCCCGATTACCCGAGGCCGCGTATATTCCACTGTAAATAGGCCATGATTGGCAATGATAAAGATACTTGAAATCAGCAGGTAAGGGTTCCTACGGACTAGAGGGGTTAGGAAAGTCCACATGCGGAGGCAGCGGAAAACATTCAAGCAGCGAAGGAACAGTGCACTGTACACAAGTAACCCGCACATAAAAGAGAGAAGCTTACGACGACGTTTCGGTCCAACTTGGACCATTGACAAAGTCAATGGTCCAAGTTGGACCGAAACGTCGTCGTAAGCTTCTCTCTTTTATGTGCGGGTTATTTGTGTATCGTTCCAGTCACGGTATTGTGCCTTTTTGTTATTTAACGGTGCACTGTGAAGAAAGGAGTTGCGCAGATGGAGGAGAGAGAAGGAACAGAGGTTGGATCAGTGTCCATTGATGGTTTGGTCTCTGCAATATATTCAGAGACTGCTTCAAGTGTTTCGGAATTCAGAGACGATGTATGGGAGACAATATTGAAGATGGTAGGGGGGCGAAAGGGTGGAGGGAACTGGAGAAGAAGCGTGGAAGGGGGCAGAAGAGGCAGAAACCTGGGAGGTGGCAGAAGAGGAAGAACCTGGGAGGGAACAGGGGAGGTAGGTATAGTACGAGGAGGAGGGTGAACCTCTACACTTGTAACAGAGCCAGTGAGAGGGGAAGAACCCGGTACAGACAGGGAAGGTAAAATGAGGAGGTGGAAGTAGGGAAGGAGGGATTAAAGGACGTCTTTTTGACTTCTGAGAAGTAGAGGGACGATTGGGAGGAGGTGTCGTACGAGGTCTCGTTGATACTGAGGCTTGTGAGGGAGAACACGAAGAAGCATGAACAGACTGAGGCGTTGAAGTAGGGACGTCTGAGCCTAGGACAGCAAAAGAATTAGATACAGGAGTGACTATGGGAGAGGTAACCACAGAGGAGGATGCAGAAGATGGGACCCCAGAAGTGGGGGGACGTTTTGAAACACGGGAATAAGAAACACGAGGTAGTCTCCCTTGGAGGCGGAGATGAGAAACTGCCATGGCATAAGGGAGACCCCTTCTGCCTCTTTGAGGTAACGGATTTCTCGCTCATTTAAGTAGACTTGGCAATGGCGAGAGTACGAAGGGTGAGCCTCATGACAATTAAGGCAAGAGGGAGGTCGATTGCAAGACGTATTAGAATGGTCATCGGCACCACAGACTGGGCATTCGGCTATGGATCTGCAATATTTAGCTGGATGGCCAAATCGCCAGCAATTTCTACACTGCTGCGGGGTAGGGATCACCTTTCGAACTTGTAACCGATGTCCTGCCACATAAACTGAGGATGGGAGTTCACGGCTGTCAAAAGTTAAACGAGCCACATTGCTAGGGTATCGTCTCCGCCCGTGGGCAGGAAGAACATAAGCGTCTACCTTGAGGATTGGGAGATCTTGGAGTTCCAGCTGTTCAAGAATTTCATTGCCACATGTCTGGAAATTTTGTTGAACTATGGTATGGGGCAGAATGACGGTACCACTACAAGAATTGAGGGAATGATGTTTTTCAATAGTGACAGGAACAGTATCTATATGGGAAAGAAGAGAAAGATCATAAGCTTGGGTAGCATTCTGTACAGTGATGATGCGCGTACCGCTCTTAAGAGCATGAAAAGAAATACCTTTACCAACATGGCGTAGGAGTGCCTTGCCAATACTGTGGTCGGAAAGATAGGCGGTAGAGGAAGTCGGTCGTAAAGTGAAGAATTTAGTCCATTGTGCAGTCTGAAACTGAGCGTGGAAAGGGAGTGCAGGACGTGTTGATCTTTTCTGAGAAGAACGAGAAGGTGAAGTATCATCAGCAGGTAACTGTCATTGGCGTTTAGGCGTGGGACCAGAATTGGTCCGATGCAGAACGGGCCAGTGATTCGAAAATTGCCGCACCGTAGAGGGAGAGGCCGGAAGCATAGTCAAAGTAGAGTGGAGGTCAGATAAATCAAAGGAGTCAGTCGAGACCTCAGTACCTGAAGCGGGTGAGGAAACAGCACCGGCAAGAGGTACAGAGGCATGAGGAGTGTCCGAAGAGTGGTCCAAAGACGAGGCGGGGTCAGAACGGGGTGCGGTATCAAGAAGGGGCCTGGGGGAATCAGGTTCATGGACTAGGGCTGCCATGGTTAGGTTACTTCTTTCTTTTTGTTTTTAAGAAAAAAAAAAGAAAGAAGAAAATAAAATAAAAAAAAAAAAAAAAAAAAAAAAAAAATAAAAAAAAAAAGGGGAGACTGGGGAGGGATAGTTCCTAGGAGGAATGAAAGGGCCAGAAATCTCCCACCGCGCCCAAGAGGACCTCAGCACCGCAAGTAGCGTAGATGCAGCATGGAACCCGTGCCATACCTACCCATCATGCCAGTAAACTAGCAATCCGGGATAGCAACCTCACATCTGCCGAGCTACCTCAGTGGACAAGAGAGAGGGCGGCCGGATATCCGCCACACAGCATACCTCCTTCAGCCACCACCCCCGGAATCAGAAAGGTGGCTTCCAGAGATACACCCGTCGCCCGAAAGACACCCAAAGCCACTCTCCGGGATACCAGAGAGGAATCGGGACATCCCCAGGCGATCCAGATTCCACGGCAAACTACGCCACCGCCAAGAACCTCAACGGAATGGGATAGACCCTGGTATCCTTTCCCCTACCTAGGAACTAGCGCGCCTGTGGGAAAAATCCCAAAGGCCAAAAAGAGGAAGGGCAAAAGGGAGGGGTGGGGAGGGGTGGGGAGGGGGAGGAGGAAAGGGAAAAGGGGAGGATGGGATAGGGAAGGGGGGACTGGGGGGTAATTAGGTTTGGTCTGAGGAAGGAGACCGACAGGTCTAATTCCTCAGACCAAGAGCCTCTTTACCACGCCAAGGAGCCCCCCTTGAAGAGGAACATTAGCCTAAAATCTATATCCAATGTACATACTAGTATGTAGGTGACAAAGATGTGTCCAACACACCAATGTGCACAATTTTTCATGCCAACATTTTGACCTCGGCTAAACTGCTTGGGTATCTTACATCCAGGCCCAACTAGTATAAGTACATATTATTATGAAACCATTATCTGTGGGTTCACCACCAGCTTTCCTATCAGCAAACAGGGTGTGGAACTGGTAGAAAGGTACCTTATTCATTCCAAATTCACACAATTTCATGATACTGACGGTGGAATTCTGCCAAAAGGCACACACTATGTAGATTTATCCTAGGATAACCCAACACAGTCAATGTTTTTTCCAAGTTTTGATGAGTATCACATCAATGTCTTAAGATTTATTGTAAATATATGTTTTACAATAGTCTTGAAGGCACAAGGTGCTATGGGCACACACAAATTACATCATGTTTACATAACACCCAGGATATTCCCTTGAACCTAAATATAACAATAATTAACCCATGAGAGCCCAGAAGAGTCATACAATGTGACTTGTTTCCATGTTTTGAGTATTACACCTTGAAATAATTGATCATAAGCATTCTTTGCACATAATGTTAGAAGACCAAAGAAATAAAAAATGGAAAAAATAATTACTTGTTCCAATGTTTACTGTAGAGGCAGGCCCCGCTTATACAGCTGTAAAGTGAAACATGGCCTTTTTTTTCACTTTCAAATGCATATAAAAGCCTGATAACATGTTTACACTATCATATATTAAGAAAGCAATAGAGCTAATCCTAAAAAAAATGCATATACAGTATGTATACACATTCCTTACCTTAAAATATTTTCGACCTTAGCTTATAGCGAGTGGTGAATATATTTATTGCAGTCTGAATAAATGAAGAATGATTAAAAAGCAAAGTGCTGAAAAGCAGGGACCCTCCTGTACGTGAAATTAGGCATGGAATATTATGGCTTGATACAGCAAAGTATAACATGATTGTCAATGGGGAAAATAGGTTCCCAATTCAGACTGTAAACAAAATTTTCAAGAATGTGTATATACTATTGTAAGCGGGGGGCTCTACTGTATTAGTATAAAGTAATACACCACCTCAAATTCAAAAGAGCATCTCAAAATGGGGTAATTAAATCAATGCTAGTCTGTGTATCATCACACCTCTTAAAATTTTGGCTTTAAAAATTATGGAAGAAGTTTCTTGAATATAAAATACAACATTGCCATACATTATTATTATTATAATCAAACTAAACCTAGTTGCAACAAGAAAGATAAGCACATACATAACTGCTATTTTAATCTTAAGCTTTCTTGGTATATCCAAGAAGAAAAGGCTAGCTTATACATCTTCAATCCTCCCTAAAGAAGTTTACTGCCATATTTGTTACATTCATTACTTTTCATATACTTGAACAATCACTTGCTTCTATCATCATTATTATAATCATGGGGGAGCACTAAACCCATAGGATTATACAGCACATGTTGGGGGGGGGGGTTAGAAGGTATTCAGGCTCAATTCAGGGAACAAGAACACAGATCCAATTCCCAAGATCAAGAGCCCCTCACCAGCATCAAGGAACCTCCCTTGAGGGGCTTCTATCATTATTGCAGGTAATGTGCCATTTCCTGATGTAGAAATGGAAGCATTTGAAACAATTTTTGCACACTGGCAGGATTGCTTGTTTTTATCTCACGAACATTTAAGACTGCAAGTAAACCTAGTAAGCTACTACTAATATTCAGTGTATTTATCTTTATATCCCAGATAACACATTACAAAAACAAGTTCCTCTAAATAATGATTACCACCAGAGAAATCTAGTAGAGTTTACTTTTACCTTTCTGGAACAACTGAGCAATTAGCACTTTTTAATAAATATACAAACACTGATTATATCTGACTATATCTCTCTGTTACTACTGCAAAAAAAAAAAAAAAATCTACCCAGTTTACCTTTAGAAACATGTCTAATGAGTTCTTCATAGTTGTAGTTAATCTTATCATTCTTGGGTGCTTTAAACCATTTGCTGAAGTCTTTAGCCACTATCATATTGTTCTTTAAGAGGTGGTTGTTATTACAATTACTGTCTTCATTATCTAATACACAACTGCTACTTTCTCTTACATCAGTATCACTAGTTGTCACAATGGGCTCATCAAACCCAAAGCCAAATTCAATTCCACTGACACTGTGGTTGAACTTGGCATTGTCTGTAAATACAACTGCGGGCTCCATCTTCTTCATACGACTAGTATCACCTGACTGAACACTGGGTGCCACCGACCCATTCTTAGTTTGTTTACCTTGGCTTTTATTACCAAGAGATTGCTTGTCCTCACTGGCATCACCTACTAACAGCCCATTTGCACTGCTAAACAAAGGAACTGAAGACTCTTCAGGCAACATATTTTGTTCTGGCTGAGAAGTTTGCTCTTGATTGGGAGTCAGTTGAGGTGGCATACTTTGCTGACTCTGAGAGTTCCGCTGGGGATGTGAACTTTGCTGAGGATGTGTAATAAGCTGGGGCTGAGAGTTTTGCAGGGGTTTTGGACTTTGCTGAAGATATGAACTTTGTTGAGGATGGGAGTTTTGTTGGGAATGTGGGTTAGGAGGTGAACGTAGGTTCTGTTGGCGAGGCGAAATTGGTTGATTGAGAGAGTTGGATTGAGGTGAATATGTCTGAGAGTGTGAATTCAGGTGTAAATTGTTTTGCTGAGGGTTTGAATTTTGTTGAGGATTTGTGTTCTGTTGTGAATGTACACTCTGTAGATGCACATTTTGTCGGGGATGAGCAATTTGTTGGGAATGTGGGTTTAGCTGTGGGTTCTCATTCTGTTGGGGAATATGGCTCTGATGGGACTGCAAGCTTGGTTGGGAATGCATACTAGATTGTGGATATGCAGTTTGCTGGGAATGGAGGCTTGACTGTAAATGTACATTTTGCTGGGGCTGTGGATTTTGGAGAGGCTGTTTCGGATACTGAGGTTGTATAGTTTGTGGGAGGTGCTGTTTCTGTTGCGTATTTTGTGCAAAAGGCAAAGAAGGCTGAGGTTGCTGGGATAACTGTTGAGTTTGTTTTTGTTGATGATTTGTGTGAAGAGAATTTTGTGGAGAACTTGAATGGGGATAGAAATTTTGCCGCTGGTATTGGCTGTGTGGTACTGGCTGCTGCAGAGGGGCAGTCTGATGAGTATTCTGTTGATAAATTATATTCTGATGTTTAGTGTGCTGATGCTGTTGCTGAGTGTTACTTATCTGATGATGGTGATTCGGCTGAATCTGAGGATGTTGCTGTTGTATTTGATGTGAATGATGATGCTGGTCTTGAGGCTGGACAGATGTTTGCTGAAACTGCTGAGCTTGTGATGAAGGGCTTGACACACATTCAATTGGAGACTTAATTGGTCTTTTATCCTCTGCTGCTCCCTCGGCAGCACCTGTTATTGGTAATAAGGCATGCTCTATATTCTCTCTCTGCCCACAATTAGATTCATCAGAAGTAATAGTTTCTTTCAGATGATCAAGGCTATGCACTACAGAAATGCTTCCAGACTGCATTACATTATCACTCGGGTTGGTCCGTACATCATTTGATTTCAAAGCAGATATTGAACTAGGAGGCCCAATACCCCCTAAACTTTCAGCTAACGATGGAAAATTGTCATCTAAAATATTAGGACGAGATTCATTCAAAACTGGTGGCTTTGAATCAGATTGCTCCACATTTCCATTGAAACTTTGCTCAACTTCCAATTCTTTATGAACAACAGTCCCAGGCTGCCCAACTGAGGGAGACATTCGTTTCATTTGCGCACGATTAGCCGAAGCAGCAAGCTTAGCAATGTTTGCATAAGAGGCTTGAGGTGTTGAATCTGAAGAAGGTGGAGGCTTACGGACATCAGGCCTAGGTGTTATGGAAGGAACAGGCATAGAGTGTACAGAATCATCCCCATCTGAGCCTGAATCCTCACTATGGGGGGCACTTGTGGTTGTAGCTGTGTAACGCTCTCCCCCATACCTATCACCAACACCCAACTGTGCCCAGAAGTTTTCGTGTGCTGTGCGTGGTCCTTCCATAAAATTAATATGAGGTCTTTCATAACCTCCACTCGATCTCTGATTTGCCTTACTCTGAACAAATCGTGAGCAACGTATCCCATCGTCACTATACGAGCTCCCTGTGTTCCTATTACTACTCACTTTGTCTGACCCCCCACTCTTCAAATTCAAGGATGCCATATGAGGCCCATTTTTATATCGTTTACTCTTTTTTTTATTACTCACAACTTCAAAGTCACCACCAGATGGTGATGATGGGGTATGAGACACATCTGTAGTTAAGAATGAGTCTCCTGCACTATAAAAATCAGCTGCAAAATCTGAAGTAACTTGAAGTGAATTAATCTCATTGTCATTTATGATATCTACTACTACTGGCTCCTTTATGTAAGGTCCATCTGGGATTACATTATTCATTTTATCAACTTTTTTATTATTGTGATATGTATTTAAAATAGTCAGAGGCATATCCCCATCATCTACCGTCACTTGTTTACGTATATCGCGTACACTGTCACTTTGTCTGCACTTAGATACGAGATCTTCAACACTGCTTGACTCCCGCAAATTACTAGAATCTTTCTTAGTTTTTTTATCATTATTCTTATTTTTCTTATTATTATTTACCTTTTTCTCTTCTTCTCTCTCTCTACTTCTCCTATTATTATCATGAGAAACTTCACCCACAACAGTACTACTGCCCTCGTTAACTTTCCACCGACCATCATCACTTTTGCCTTTTTCCACATTATTATCCTCTATGTATTTTTCAGAATTTTTAATTTTCTTTTTTCCTTCCTTGTCCTCTCGATTATCATCTTTCTTCCCTTTGTGTTTCTTTTTATTTTTCCCATTTGTAGAATCAATCTCAGCTCCAAGGAATTTAAGGATATCATTGAGGTCTTGGTCACCACGGAAGCCAGGCGTCTCTTTAATGTTGACAATATCCTTTTCTTTGTTTGCCTGGAAAGAAAATAAATACTGTATAAAGAAATGGGCTTTTCAGGAAAAACATTTAGTCAGTCAAATATTTCTTGCCTAAAAAATGACTGCTTAGTGGCACAAATTTACTCTTTTTTTTTTTTTTCCCCAAGAATGATTTACTCTCAAAGGATGTACCTGGCCCACTGGGGAAAAGTTTAACCCACCTTCCTCGTTTAACCCAAGAGTGAATTGGTCTACACATTCAGCCCTACATCTATGGGTTTTTCTACAAGAATGGTACATAATATCGACAAGATGAAAACACACACATGTGCAACATCTGGGTATCTTTATTGTATAAGTTTCACCATCCAGTGGCATTATCAATACAGATTCTAGGACATAATTTGACGACAGCAGAACTATATGCAAAAGATGAGGTAATCAGTCCCTCAGCCTTGGAGTTGGCATGAAGAGGACTGTACACAAATAACCCACACATAAAAGAGAGAAGCTTACAACGACGTTTCGGTCCGACTTGGACCATTGACAAAGTCACACTAACCAGAAGTGGAGTAGGATGGCTATATATAGGCAGGAAGAGGTGATGGTAGTAGTAGTAGCAGTAGTACAAGAATGGTATATAATACCGACAAGATGAAATTAAGACACATGCGCAACACCCGGGCATCCCTATCGTAGACGTTTCGCCATCCAGCCAGCCACTGGATGGCGAAACGCCCACAACAAAGACAACCAGACGCTGCACATGCGTCTTAATTTCATTCTTCCATACTACAGAATAAACTTCAACGTCTCATCTCAGCTAGCCCTTGGTCTAAATTCTCCCTCACTGACTGTGTTACTAACCTGTCTTCTGTCTCACTCTCTCAATATGAGCTTGAACTTCTCGGTTTTGGCCTTTCCTTTGCCACTTCACCTACTCCTCGCGCTGGTATTTCCCTGATTAGCTCTTTTGATTCCTTTCGTCAATCTCGCTCCCGTAATCTTCCCGACTTGTCCACTTTTCGTGGCGCTCTCCTTCCTGCTCTTGTTAGTCTGTTTTCTAAGAATCACCACCTTCCACGCCGTTACCAACTTGCCCTTTCTTCTCTTAAATCCAACACTAACATTGTCATACTATCTTCTGACAAAGGTAATTCAGTAGTTATCCTTGATCGCGAGGATTACCTCCGTAAAGCTGATGTCTTGTTCTCTGACTCACGTACCTACACTCCTCTCGTTTCCAACCCTCTTGATCGCATCAAGAGAACTTTCAACAAAAAACTAAGGACTCTCTCCGACCTCTGTCCTCCTGACTTTGACCTTGTTCAACGGTTTCGTGTCATCTGTCCCTCTCTTCCCTATTTTTATGGCCTTCCCAAAACTCATAAACCTGATATTCCTCTTCGTCCTATCATATCCTCTAGAGGTTCTGTCTCTTATTCTCTTGCTTCTTGGCTGGCCAAAACCCTCACTCCCTTTCTTGGTACTTTTTCTCCTGCCCACCTCCGTCACTCTCAAGACTTCACTGAACGGGTTCGCTCTCTCCCAACCTGCAAGATGCTTAGTCTTGACGTTGAGTCCCTCTTCACCAATGTCCCTCTTGATGATGTCCTTGATTTCCTTAGAGAGAAGGCCCATGTAGGGGTTCTTCATCTCCCTATACCTACTGATGTCTTTCTTGATCTTATCCGCCTCTGTGTGGACTAACTCCTTTTCCTTCCAAGGGAAATATTATTCTCAAACCTTCGGTGTCGCTATGGGCTCTCCTCTCTCTCCTGTCCTTGCTAATCTTTACATGGAATACTTCGAGACTGTTCTTCTTCCTACCCTCGATGTGCAACCTTCACTCTGGCTCCGCTATGTGGATGACATCTTTGCTCTGTGGCCTCATGACTCGTCTCTTCCAACCTTTTCTTGAAGCTCTTAATAATCTTGCCCCTTCCATTAAGTGTAAAGCTGAATGGGAATCTAATTCCTTGCTTCCTTTCCTTGATGTCCATGTCCATCGCTCAGATACAGGTTTTTCCTTTTCCATTTACCGAAAACCTATGCACAGTGGCATGTACATTCACTACTTTTCCTATCATGCTTCCCCTGTCAAGAAAAGTGTTCTTATCTCCCTCTTTCTCCGTGCCCTCCGCATCTGTGATCCTCAGTTCCTTCCAGCAGAAATTTCCACTCTTCATAATTCGTTTTCCCGTCTTGGCTACCCTTCCCATTTCATAGACTCGGCCCTCTCACGTGCTAAACGCAATTTCTTCTCTCCCAAACTCTCTACTCCTGGGAACTCTTGCATCCTCTGCCTTCCCTACATTTCCGGTCTTTCTAATCTCAACAATTCTCTCCGTCCCTTAGACATCAAGCTTACCTTCTGCCAGACTAACACTCTTCGCACTAATCTCGTTCATACCTTTCCTCCCTCTACAGATGTTCCTGGTGTCTACTCTATTTCTTGCTCCTCCTGTCCTCTTCAATACTTTGGAGAAACTGGTCGATCTCTTTCTGACAGATTTAAGGAGCACAAAAATAGTGTTAGGCTTGCCGACACTAACAATGCTCTTTTCTGTCACGTCAGAGATCATAGCCATCCTATTGACTGGTCTTCTGCTAAAACTGTCTTCCCTACTTCCAACTCGAACAGTCGCCGTCTAGTTGAATCCTCTCTAATACACAACTTTCCTTGTATGAACCTTAGCCCTTGCTTCGTCTCTGTAGATGCCTTCCTCTCCCACTACATTGTAAAATGCTCCAAACTTCAGAACACCCGTGACTTAACCTAACTCCTTATTTTTTCTTTTTCTTTTTCTTCTTCTCCCTCTTCCCCTTTCCTCTTTCCTTTTCTCCTCTGGGTTGTCTTTCTCTCTTCTGTCTCGTGTTTCTGTTCCTTCTTCATTTATTTCCCACTTCCCCTTTCACGCACCTCTGTGCGCTTGCTCTCCCTCAGTGAGCACCTAGCTCTCTTGCAGTGCTCCCCTTCCTTTGTATTTGACTGGCTCGTCCTCCTTATTTCCCACTTCTACCACTACCTCTACTACTACTACTACTACTACTACTACAACTACTGATGAAATTAAGACACATGTGCAGCATCTGGTTGTCTTTGTTGTGGGCGTTTCGCCATCCAGTGGCTGGCTGGATGGCGAAACGTCTACGATAGGGATGCCCGGGTGTTGCGCATGTGTCTTAATTTCATCTTGTCGGTATTATATACCATTCTTGTACTACTACTACTACTACTACCATCACCTCTTCCTGCCTATATATAGCCGTCCTACTCCACTTCTGGTTAGTGTGACTTTGTCAATGGTCCAAGTCGGACCGAAACGTCGTCGTAAGCTTCTCTCTTTTATGTGCGGGTTATTTGTGTATCGTTCCAGTCACGGTATTGTGCCTTTTTTTGTTATTTAAGAGGGTTGTAGTTGTGAAGATTCTGGAGCAGAGGCAAGGAGACTGGCGCTTACATACTAACGTCTGGTGGATTGGGACGCGTAGCAAACGAGGGCACAGTCACTGGTAGGCGGGATTCTCCAGTGGAAGTAGGTCATATCCAAAGGGATGGTCAAGTTGTAGTAGTAGTAGTTGTAGCCTTGGATGGCGAAATGTCTACAATAAAGATACCCAGATGTTGCACGTGTCTCAGGTTTCATGGATTTTTTTTTTTTTAAACACAGTGTATCAGCCATTTCTCAATAAAGCAGGGTGAGCCCATGGAAATGAAACAACCATCACTTAATTCCTCATCGTCTTTCCAGAAGGACACATTACAATTTAAAATGATCCACTGAAACACATCTACATCTATTAGCCAAAGTGCAGGCACTGCAAGGAAGGCAGAGTGAGTGCATCAGCTCAGGCTGTATAACTGCATCAACAACAAGCTCCCGGATTAAAAGATTGCAGATTTTTGGTCACTGATTGCATAGTATTTATTTGAACAAAGGTAGTGCTATTAAAAGTAAAAATTACAGTAAAAAAATCTTAATGTGAAACAACATGGATGACTATAAAACTAAACATCATAACTAACACCTCGTAGGTTGATGAGTATGAAGTTATAGGTGCAGAGCTGACAATTAGTTAAATGTCAGCACAGAATCTATTTGACAACAAACTAAGACCAAGACACAGCACTATCATTATTTCATCTCTAATAGTTGAGGATTGGGGAAGCAGATACACTACGACAGGATGAAAAAGTACTGTAGAAAGTGATAAAAAGAAGAAAAAAAAAAGAGGGAGGGATGAAGATACTCAATTAGACCAATTTTGGCAATACATTCCACACATCACCATGGAAAAATATTACAGACATTCTAGCAAATTATTTGTATCAGCACTATACAGCAGCAGTTTAAAGTATCAAGTAATGTGAACTGTCTCACGAACAAATTCCAACAAAACTGCATTTGCCCAGTCTTCTTTAATGAACCCTCTTGAGTATTCTAAAATGCATTGTGTTTTTCCTCCCTTGTCCTCCTTTACTATGTGTGCCCAATGTCTCAATCTCTCTCCTCTCAAATTTACAAAATACATCTGAATCACTATCATCAACCATACAGGTAACTTAGCCATCATAGCAGTGTCCTCAATCTTACATGTCACTGACAATTCTGACTATCTTTCTGTACCATCATCATTCCGTACTTTATCATCTTTGTACAGTACCACATTGTGTTCCTCAAATACATAACCCCTATATACCTAATTTTTATTTTATGTTTTATGTCCATTTTGCTCCTGTATTCCATGAGTATATTTCTTCCTGCAGCCTTCAAATCATAGCCCTTTGTCTCTCGTTCCTACTAATTAGAGAACTCATTGTATCAACCACTCTTCATACTCTATTCTCTACTTCATTTCACTTGAAGAATTTTTAATTTATCAACAGATTCTAATTATTTTCCTTTTCCTAGGTTTCCAAACTAATTCCTTAGCTCTCCACTACCATTAATTTACCAGTAAATCAGTGTCTTCTTCATATTCCTAAACCATGGTGAAATATTCCTCTTTAACCATTGTATGATGCTTGTATTTTAAACTGTTCTTTTTTTGACATATTTTAAGTATATTCATACCATACAGTCACACATATGCAGTATAATGTGATCCTTTATTGAAAACGTTTCACCCACACAGTGGGCTTTTTCAAGTCACAAACAGATCTACCTGGGTGGAAGGTACACGAGTATTTATAGTCAGGTTCAGAATGCTGGGTCAGGTGGAGAATGCTGCATGTGATGATCTACCGAGTGGGGTTATCGAGTCTAAAATCTTGGGTAACTTGGAAAGAAGATTGGATAAGTATGTGAGTAAACCTTCTGCAGTGTTCCTCCATTCCTCAATACCGAAAAATCCTGGAATCATCCCTTATCTCTATATCCAACAACTTCAACAAGAACAATGGCTTCTATAACATAGCTGAACCACTTGCCAAGAAACTTCATCACTATCCCACATAAGAACATAGGAATGGAGGAACACTGCAGAAGGTCTACTAACATACTTATCCAATCTCCTTTCCAAGCTACCCAAGATTTTAGACTCTATAACCCCACTCGGTAGATCATCACATGCAGCATTTTCCACCTCACCCAGCATTCTGAACCTGTTTGTGACTTGAAAAAGCCCACTGTGTGGGCGAAACGTTGTCAATAAAGGATCCCATTATACTGCATGTGTGTTTATATTTCCACTGTGTCGGTATTTTATACCATCTATTTCCACCATAGTCACACAAATCATTTCATTTAGGTAGATTCAATTATTTTAATCTCACCTTTTTCTTGTCATTTCTAGCTTTGACACGATCAAACCTGCTTGCATCCTTATGAGAATTGTTCATCACGTTTTTGCGTGCAGTATGGTGAGTCTGCATAACCAAAGCATTGGAACGCTCACTAGCCGACAATGGAGTTACAACGCAACTGCTTGAAGTAGACATCACAGGATTTCCATTTTCATCCAAAGATGACTTGTTCTGTAATATAGAAACAACCTGTAAATGCAAGGCATCTACCAGATATAAACTGAGATCTGCTTAACTATTTAGTCTTTCAACAAACTTATGATTCTTCTTAATGTGTACTACATGTGATCAACTTTGGAGACTGATACTACTGAGTAAACACTAATAGACATGAAAGTTAAATTCACTATCTGAACACATGCCCTATCCCTCAGGATGTTGCATTCTTCATCTATTGTGCTTGGTAGCATTTATGATCACACTCATTTTTGAGGGTAAATTTTGTGATCTAGAAACTGTGGCAGACACCCCATCTAACTAAATTGGCATAAAAGAAATTGTGCACCAGGTGCACACTATGAAATACACTACACGTACGTGCGTATATGATACCCTTTGAGGAGTACAATTCTGAGAAACTAGGTACATGTCCGATTAATTCCTGCAACTCGTAGTATTTGGTTTACAGTACACGTGGACAAATTTAGTCTCTCAACCCCTTTGATTACATTTTGTGTGCACAAATGCTCATGAACAAAGACAATTACACCCTCACATACATGTGCAACCAGTACATCCACACTTGCAGACTTCAGTACAAATCACAATGGAAATGAAGATATCTAAAGGCAAAGAAAGTGCTTCCTCTCTAAATTGCAAGAAACCTTATTAGAAAAAGTACACAAATACCAAAGGCCTCACAGAAGAAAATAAATAGAGTGTGGTTGGGAGGGACTGGGGGGGGATGGCAGCCTATTCTTGCATCAGGAGTGATACATGTTCAGAATTCAACATTACCTATTTTTCAAAGCAACCATGTTGCTGAGAATAATAGACATATTGCTACTTTTTTAATTGCTTGTGGATAACTATGCATTTTAACAGGTCCATACAACCTAAACAAAGTTAATGTATAATATAAAATAAATAAAATGCCATAAGAGTAAAAATAGAATATGCCAATAAATTGATGCTGAGCATCAAGTAATGTGTTGGAGGGGAGGGAGAAGGTAGAGGGTCATTGAGGGAGAGGGTGGGTCATGGAGGGGGAGGGAGAGGGTGGGTCATGGAGGGGGAGGGAGAGGGGGTCATGGAGGGGGAGGGAGAGAGGGTCATGGAGGGGGAGGGAGAGAGGGTCATGGGGGGGAGGGAGAGAGGGTCATGGAGGGGGAGGGAGATAGGGTCATGGAGGGGGAGGGAGAGGGTCATGGAGGGGGAGGGAGAGAGGGTCAGGGAGGGGGAGGGAGGGTCAGGGAGGGTCAGGGAGGGGGAGGAAGAGAGGGTCAGGGAGGGGAAGGAGAGGGGGTCAGGGAGGGAGAGGGGGTCAGGGAGGGGGAAGGAGAGGGGTCAGGGAGGGGGAAGGAGAGGGGGTCAGGGAGGGGGAGGGAGAGAGGGTCAGGGAGGGGGAGGAAGAGTGGGTCAGGGAGGGGGAGGAAGAGAGGGTGGGTCATGGAGGGGGGAGGGGGAGGGAGGGAGAGATGGTCATGGAGGGGGAGGGAGGGAGAGATGGTCATGGAGGGGGGAGGGAGGGTCATATAGGGGGAGGGAGAGAGGGTCAGGGAGGGTGAGGGAGAGAGGGTCAGGGAGGGGGTCAGGGAGGGGAAGGAGAGGGGGTCAGGGAGGGGGAAGGAGAGGGGGTCAGGGAGGGGGAAGGAGAGGGGGTCAGGGAGGGGGAAGGAGAGGGGGTCAGGGAACAGGGAAGGGAGAGAGGGTCAGGGAGGGGGAGGGAGAGAGGGTCAGGGAGGGGGGAGAGGGGGTCAGGGAGGGGGAAGGAGAGGGGGTCAGGGAGGGGGAAGGAGAGGGGGTCAGGGAGGGGGAAGGAGAGGGGGTCAGGGAGGGGGGAGAGGGGGTCAGGGAGGGGGAGGGAGAGTGGGTCAGGGAGGGGGAGGAAGAGAGGGTTAGAGAGAGGGAGGGTCATGGAGGGGGGAGGGGGAGGGAGGGAGAGATGGTCATGGAGGGGGAGGGAGGGAGAGATGGTCATGGAGGGGGAGGGAGGGAGAGATGGTCATGGAGGGGGAGGGAGGGAGAGATGGTCATGGAGGGGGAGGGAGGGAGAGATGGTCATGGAGGGGGGAGGGTCATATAGGGGGAGGGAGAGAGTGTCAGGGAGGGTGAGGGAGAGAGGGTCAGGGAGGGGGAAGGAGAGGGGGTCAGGGAGGGGGAAGGAGAGGGGGTCAGGGAGGGGGAAGGAGAGGGGGTCAGGGAGGGGGAAGGAGAGGGGGTCAGGGAGGGGGAAGGAGAGGGGGTCAGGGAGGGGGAAGGAGAGGGGGTCAGGGAGGGGGAAGGAGAGGGGGTCAGGGAGGGGGAAGGAGAGGGGGTCAGGGAGGGGGGAGAGGGGGTCAGGGAGGGGGAAGGAGAGGGGGTCAGGGAGGGGTAAGGAGAGGGGGTCAGGGAGGGGGAAGGAGAGGGGGTCAGGGAGGGGGAAGGAGAGGGGGTCAGGGAGGGGGAAGGAGAGGGGGTCAGGGAGGGGGGAGAGGGGGTCAGGGAGGGGGGAGAGGGGGTCAGGGAGGGGGAGGGAGAGTGGGTCAGGGAGGGGGAGGAAGAGAGGGTTAGGGAGAGGGAGGATCATGGAGGGGGGAGGGGAGGGAGGGAGATGGTCATGGAGGGGGAGGGAGGGAGAGATGGTCATGGAGGGGGAGGGAGGGAGAGATGGTCATGGAGGGGGGAGGGAGGGTCATATAGGGGGAGGGAGGGAGGGTCATGGAGGGGAAGGAAAGAGAGAGGGTCATGGAGGGAGAGGGAAGGAGAGAGGGTCATGGAGGGGGAGGGAAGGAGAGAGGGTCATGGAGGGGGAGGGAGGGAGGGAAGAGGGGGAGGGAAGGGAGGAGGGGGAGGGAGGGAGAGGGAGGGAAGGGAGGGAGGGAAGGGAGGAGGGGAAGGGAGGAGGGGAAGGGAGGAGGGGAAGGGAGGGGAAGGGAGGGGTAGGGAAAGAGGATCATGGAGGGGGGGGGGGAGGGGGAGGAAGGGAGGGGGAGGGAGAGGGTGAAGAGGGAGGGGAAGAAGGGAGAGGGTAAAGAGGGAAAGGAAAAGGAGAGGGGGAGGGAAAGGAGAGAGGAAGAGATGAAGAGGGAAAGGAAGAGGAGAGGGGAGGTAATGAGGGGAAGAATGGGGAGATGAATGGTAGAGAGGGGAAAGAAGGAAGAGAAAACAGACATGAAGTAATGGGAATCAGGCAAGAGAAAGATGCTGTTCTATTGGTCATGGCAATATTATACAAAATCCCCTTTGACAGATGCCAAGTTGTATCAGACACACACTTACCAAGCCCAGCACATTGTGATGAGCCTATTGATGCTATAACTCACCTTATACACAATTCTCTATACCAACTCAGGTACCATGCAGCACCTGTCCTCCTCCTGTCATATAAACAAACATTACCTAGCACCTTACTTTGCAGTGAAATTGTGCAAAATGCATTGCACTAAGCACTAAATAGTAAGCATTTGATAAATATTATGCTTAGCAACTATTGACAGCTTGCTTGATCAGGCCCTGGGCCGCGGGGACGTTGACCCCCGGAACACCCTCCACATAGATACACAAGGAAACCTGCACAGCAGTCACCCGAAGCAGGTTGCACCAGGCAGGTAGAGCCATGCTGATATTGCTAGGTGAGTTATAGAGCTACAGCACAATACACTGTTATTAACTAAGCCAATGAAATCATAATAATTTCTTGTTCCAACATCAATGATTTTTATACATTATACCCAGTCAATACTAGCTCCAAAAGGCTTTCAAGTCATAAGGATTGCAGTGCTGTTAAGCCTAAGAAGCACTTTATTTTAGACACCACAATGGCTATTTAATGGCAGGTCTATGCCATAGAAAGATCAGATGCAACTAACAAAACCTGAACTACCCAATTTGATCATGTACAGGTTATGTTTGACTTAATTTCATACTTCCTTATCCCAAAATGTAACAGACAGCTCCACATGCATACAAGGCTCCCCAGCCTTCCACACCCATACGAGGCTCCCCAGCCTTCCACACACGTACAAGGCTCGCCAACCTTCCCCATGTAGAAGGTTCCCTGGCCTTCCGCATGTGCAAGGCTCCAGGCCTTCCAAGCATGTGCAAGGTTCCTATTACTTTTACTTATGATGACATTCATCTTAAAACATGATACACTACCATTTTATAAGTCAGCTATCTGTCCACTAGGGTCTTGGTGAGGAGAGGGAGAAGAGAGGAAATATAGGAAAGGAAAGCATGGATAGAGGAAGCAAAGGAGGAAGAGGAAGGGTGAAGAGAGCAAAGGAGGAAGAGGAAGGGTGAAGAGAGCAAAGGAGGAAGGGTGAAGAGAGCAAAGGAGGAAGAGGAAGGGTGAAGAAAGCAAAGGTGGAAGCTAGAGGAAGGGTGGAGGGACCAATAAAGGAAAAGGAAGAGTGAAGAGAGAAGAAAATATGTGAAACAGAGATGCCTTAAAAATCACTGAAAAGAAAAAATATAGAGGGGAAAGTTTCTGGTATTTTTTTTAAACACACTGGCCATATCCCACCAAGACAGGGTGACCTAAAAAGAAAAAGAAGCTTTTCTTTTTATATTTAGTAATTTATACAGGAGACAAGGTTACTAGTCCCTTGCTCCTAGCATTTTAGTCACTTCTTACGACATGCATGTCTTACGGAGGAAGGATTCTTCTCCACTTCCCCATGGAGTTTTCTGGTAAATCTTTCTTAAGATTTACTTTTCTGGTAAATTTTTTTTTTTTTTCAACAAGTCTGCTGTCTCCCAATGAGGCAGGGTGACCCAAAAAGAAAATACTTTCATCATCATTCAACACTTTCACCTCACTCATACATAATCACTGTCTTTGCAGAGGTGCCCAGATACAACAGTAAATATGATACAACAGTAAATATGATACAAAATTAAAAGTACAGTATTTAAATTCACAACCTACCTCACTGCCCCCACTATCGCTTCGACTTGCCAAAAGTTTTCGCTTTCCTAAACCTTCTTCTTCTAACCCTGAAAAGAAAGAAAAATCAGGATTTTAACTATTCCCTTAACCAAAACAAAAAATTCATTACTGATAACCTGAAAAAACACAAATCTCTTCTTCTAATGAAAAATATGGATGTAGTATACTGTAATAAAAGAAGTTAAAATAAGAACAGTACATTACTCCCTTCTAATTTCTCAGTTGCCCAAGGATTTTCAAATGGATCTTCAGTTCTAGCACATATATAGTCAGAACTTGTGTATGTTGAAAAGTCCTAAGTCTGCAAATGAAATCTAGGTAAGTATATCTAGAAAAGGATGTTGTCTAAATAAGTATTAACTCATCAATTTAGACAGCATTATAGTAGTGAGCTCAACTTTCTTAGGTGTCAGGACACTTCAGGGATCTTTTGCTAGTGAGCAGAAAAGAAGCAAAGTTTGATGGGTTTGACAAAGTTTTCATATGTTTAATGAAGTCACATTTATAAGCTTTTCTGAAATGTGTTCAAAGAGGAAGCTCCTGTGAGGAGCCAACTTGGGGAAGAAATACTAGGACCAAGTCAGTACAGTAAATCCTCATTTTGAAATACTAATAGAGTGGGTGAGGAGGAAGGGAGGTAAAGTGGCCAGTAATAGCAACACTTGTGAATAAAGATGAGAATATTTTGCTGTGATTGTAATAACAGACAATCCTGAAGCAAATAAATTTTGTCCATGGCTTCTGAATTAAATGATACAGCAGATTTTGTCCTGCATTTCCAAAGTTTGTTAAACTGAGGCTTATTATATCTAATACCTCTTTTGCAAAGCCTAAACCCATTGGTAAGTAATGCAAGTCACAGCTGAATAAATAATAACAAAACAAAATCACAGATGAAGAATTCAGCAAAAATTTTTAATCATTTTCTTAAAGACAAAAAACTATTTTCACTGATGCCTGTAACTGGGTAAATTTTAAACAAATGACAGATTAGCTTCAGAAAGCATTAATGGACTCACCTTTGTTGGTTAATTTTTCCTCTTTAAAGACTGAAGTAACACATTGGGAGTCCTGAAGAGGTAGCGTGCGACGGCCACAGCTGCTCAGCATAGTGTCCTCCTGGTGGCAAACATACAAACTTTAATCAACCCAGAACTTCTTTCCATCTTTTAAACAAGATTGGTTTTTAAAAGAATTTACTGTACATCAATTATCAATAAAACTAAGCAAACATCATAACAAATAAGAAAGTAATGAAGACTTCTGATAGAACTGAACACACAAGCAACAAGGCCTAGCAAAATATCACTTTGGATACTGGTAATGAAAAAGAAAGCTAAAGCCTCAACAACATTCTTAACAAAACATTAAAGAACAGACAGCATAATTTCAATACTCAAGTAAACAGACTGGGGATAATAAAGTACAAATCTGACGAGGATCCCATGTCATGGGTTGAGGCTAAAATAAGAGAGACTGGTGAACTACCTGGAAAGAATACAAAACATCTTGACAGGTTTAGAAATGACAAGACCTACCTCTCAATAGACTGCTGAATGAAAAGGCAGGAAATAGAAGGGTGGGAGAACTGCACATTCCTATACTGAAAAAAGGCCTTTGATACAATAATACAAAGAAGACTAACACCTAAAATGGAGGAAGATGTAGGCTGGGGTGACTGGTAGTGTTTAAATGGATTAAGGAATACCTGAAAAACATAAGCTGATAAACTACAGTGAGATGAACATCAAGATGAGAAACTATAATAGATTCCCCAAAGTTCAGCCCTATGTTTCATACTAATCATCAAACTGTTTACATAAATGGCCTGCAAGGAAAGTGGGTTAGGGAAGCATACTCCTATATGCCAAGACTTGCAATAATGACATAGTAACAAGAATAGAAACAAAAAGAGAGAGAACTGAAAGATAATGACAGCAAGTTACAGGAAGAGTTAAAGAATGGCTACTAGAGTTAATTAAAGCCAGAGCAAAGTAATAAACTGTGTCTAAATTAGGATATGAGCCAACATACTGTCTGAGTGACAACGGGGTTAAGAAAAAATCTTCAGCGAGCATCCCACCAAGTAGAACCAAGGTGCTTTCAGCGCACTTTCTACTAGGTAACCTTCCCACACAAGGCCCAGCCAACACGACATCACCTGTGACCTGAAATCCTGCTCTCAGTCTTTGTTACATATGTGATCTCTCCTCTCCTCCCTTCTCCACTTCACCAGATTGAATATTACAGTAGTTTTTGGGTTTCCTGAATCTTGAAAAGCTCAATCAGAATAAAACATTTTCTAAAATAAAGGTTTGCACTGCATTATGTATCTATGTACAGGTCTCCCTCCATATTCGTGAGAATTAGGGGATCTAGAGCCTCGTGAATGTTGAAAAACTGCGAATGTTTGGTGCACAAATATACTGTAGGGAAATATAACAACAGCATTTACTTAGCCTAACAATACTGCTTTCTTAACCTATTGAACCATGAACAATCATAAAACACACGAAAACATCGTAAAATATTGTACTAGTGCCAGCCCTTTGGTAAAGGTGAAAAAGACTAGAGAATTCAAGAAAGAACTCGTAGCAGAGTACCAAAGTGGAGGAGGAAGAGAAGGGAGAATGTGCCTTCTTCAGTGATTCTACAATATGTATGATACTAAAGCAGCACGAGTCGATAAAGGCTATAGCGCCAGCCAGCGATAAAGTGTAGCATTAACAGTGTAGCAAGTAAGTGAAGCAGTTAATCTATAGGAAAAATACAGCATTAACCTAACTCCTCCAATATTGTTGGATAACACCGCCCTCTCTACTGCCTCTGTTGCCACCTCCACCACCATGTAAGGCTTATGCTCTCAGTGTCCCTTATACACCCAACAACAACAATGCAACAATACTCGTGATATACTTAATGATATATTTTATTCATTCTAGAGTAAGTCATGTTTCTATGTTATTAATATTGTTTATTATGTCATATTAGATGAACCGTAATAGATAAACAAGCCGTAGAGTTGATATTAGTGTCATATTGAAGGACTATCTTGTCCTATCTCCAAACAAACTCTGCCACCTCCACATTTCCTAACATATGTAATGACATATTTTAACCCCTTGACTGTCACAACCCCAAATCCTGAGGTGTCTCCTGGCGTTGCAAAAAAAAAAAAAAAAAAAATCTTATGAAATGATAGAGAATCTTTCCCAGATTGTAATGACACCAAAAGAACAAAATTTTATGGAAAACTGACGGAATTATGCTCTCGCAAAATTAGCGACACAGGCGATATTTACGAATCGGTGATTTCGCCCACTTTGAGCCCTATTTTCAGCTAATTCCACTGTTCCAGTCGACCAAACTCAGCTATTTCTTTAGAACTCCATTTTTCCTATCGACTGAGTACAAGGAACTGCATATTTACCGATTTCAACTACCCAATAACGTGGTCAGAAATTTGCAATTTGGCCAATTTCACGAAAACTAAAAAATATGACAATTTTAAAATAGGGTCCAGAATGAACAATGAAGACATTCCTGGCTCTAAAATAACATTTTCTTTGTTCATCAGTCACGTCTCCAGGCCCCTCTGATATTACTCTTGCTTTCTATTTTGAATTTATTCAAACAAAAAATTAGAAGATTTACTGTTATGCAGACTACTGCAATATTGTAATAATTGCATAAATAATGTCAACCCATTCATGACTGCATATTAGAATGGCTACTTGGACATACATTGGAAAATGACATAATTTGTTTACTTTTGAACATCGGCAAAACTCAAACATTTCCCCTACTTTGAGCTCCATTTCAAAGTTCTTTTCATAGTAAAACCAATCAAAATCACCTCTATTTCTATAACATGTTTTCCATTCTATCAAATGAGACCAAGAAAACAAGAACACAACCATAAATACTACACGAAAATATACCACAAAGTCGGCATTTTAATAATAAAAAAAAAACGGTCAGTTTTTTTTCTCATTATGCACTGTGTGCTGCAGGATTTTTTTTATATGCTGCACACTGACCCATTCAGTCACATGTGGGCCTACTAGCTTTCTCCTGCTTGATTTGAAGCCGCTAGAATTTATGAGTATATATACGTCAAAAACGGTGGCTTGTAAGACGTATATATACGACCAAAACAGTCAAAGGGTTAAATATAATTGGGTGGCTGGGCAGTCACAAATGTTCAAAGCCTGCGAAAGTGGAGGGAGACCTGTAGCTTTAAATACCCCACTTGTTGGCATGCTGCTTCAGTCACAAAGTGTATGGCTGGTGGTTGTACATACGAGTAGGGGCCCTCATTTTCACTGGCGGTATTTTATACTATCTGCCAAGCCTTGCACTCTCGTAGGAAGTAGCTTCAGCATGCAGATTTGGAGTCAATATGCTGAGGACTGCACTCACCTACGAGTATTTGTGATTATGGGGGTCAATTGTCAGATCCTGGCCCCTGCCTTTTAACCTGCCACTCTTTAGATACAGTCCCTCTTAGCTTTGTGGGGCCCTATTGTACTTGCTCTTAAAACTATGTATAATGTATGCCTCCACCATTTCCTCACCAAACTCATTCGGAGTGCCATCTGAACTGTAATGTCAGCAGAATTCTGGTAAGACAGCAAATGAATGACTAAGATTTTTTCTTTTTGGGGAGAGGTTACCCTACCTCAGTTGGAAACAGCCAGTGTTAAAAAAAAGATATAAATTCTAAAGGTAAAAAATTCAAGACATGAGCTTGCACTGTAAATGCATGTAACCAATGTTTAACAATACTAAGAGAGAAGAATGATAACAGATGAGGGTCTACCATGCACCAAAGGAATCATTAAGTATTCATAAGAAAAAAGGAAAAATAAACAAAAAATCTGTTAATGAGCTTTATATTACCTGTGACCGACCGAGGCTAAAGCTGATTGCCTTATCTACTTCAGTATGTGAGTTATCAAAATCAGCCCTGTGGCAAGTAACATTTTGTAGCTCTATCCTAGTCTCCTCTCTAGGGTCATCTTCCTCCTCAGTAGTTTCCCCCGCTGAGGCCACATCCTGTTGGGTTGGGGGGAAAACATGAAGACGTAGTGTCTGCAAGGATAATGAAGGCGAGCTCAAGCTGTGTACTGTATTACAATTAGTTAACACTTACATTTTCATTAAGTCTGAAAGCATCTAGTACTGCCTAATCATCCTAACAATTCAAGATGGATATGTAAACACAAACCAAGTAAAGATTAAACCCCAAAGTATAAACTATTTGCACAAATTCTCACTCGGAAAAACAAATAAATACAATAACAAAAAGTAAAAATATCCTGCATAATTTAGGGAAAAAAATCAACTGGTAATACTGTATTATATCACCTCTAAAGTTTCATTCAACTCCTCAAAAATACTCATGTGATTATAACTCCCCCCAGCCTTTGAATAAAACAAAAAAGTCATGACATCTGACAGAATGAGCAGAGAGACTTTGGTAAGGTTATGATTTGTCAAATATTTCACTATGGGTTTGCTAGCAACAAGAGCTTCAAAGGCTTCATTCCAGTAGAACTAGTTACTATTACTTGGGAATTACCATTTCTAATTGCCTATCCAACATAATGGAGAAATGGTATTAAAGAGGATATCCTAGGTGGGTTTGTCATCTGTAGGAGTTAAGATTACCACTACAACACATGCTGCATTGATCCTGAATCAGCATCCAACTTTTACCAGGCCATTAAAAATCTATGAACAGAAAAATTTTCATGCCTGAGCCACCTTTTAAAACTTTCCGGCGCATAAACTCAGGCGAAAGCTAAAAAATTTTAATATAAATGTGAAAAGTATTCTATTCAAAATGCATTACCTGAGTGCACACTATGAGAAACTTGACTGTACACACAGTAGACAGTCCTTTTACATGTGATCTTTTCATACGTTTTCAACACAACATGGTTGAAAATTTGCTGCATAATTTTGATGAGCACGCTGTAACCTCATTCAGCAGCATGGTGTAAACCTAGGGAAAAAAATGTGATACGCCACACAGGCACAGCTGTTGTTCGTATGGGGGAAACCTAATCTCACAATGCAAACCTTCCTTCACACTGCCAATCCACTGTACATATGCATCACATACTACAGTCACATGTTAGTGAACTGATTTTTTTATCTTTACATCTGCCCTTCTTGACTCATGGTACCCAAGAGAAATAAGCATGAAAGTCTTGGTATTTAAAAAAAAAAAAAATTAGATAGGTTTAAAAGTGGTACACGTGGGATGGAGAGAGAGCAAGCCTTTGGTTTCAGTGAAGCATTAATTCATATGATTAAAAAGAATAAAGTAAGAGCTTGAGCAAGAAGTAACCCAGGTGACCCAAAACAATAGCATGTGTATGTCAACAGCTAAATAAGATGGAAAACGGTTTTCCACTTACACTGCATGATAAGAAAATGTCAACTTACCGACATAGAATCCTCTACATTATTGCTAATATCGGGGTCAATTCCTCCAGAAGCCCCACCAACACCTTCTGGAGGAAATGTATGTTCTGTAGCGTGAGGGGACTGTGCTAGTAGTCGGCAGCGATTATCCACAATGGCTTCATCTCCAGAGCTTTCCTCTCCTGCTTCACGATCTTCAGAACGGCGAGAATACCTACAGCTGGAGCTCTCACTTGCAGTCTTTTGACGTCGATTCTTTAAAGAAATAACGCTGTGCTTAAAACATAGATCTACATGAGTGGCTGGTGTCAATAGCCTAGATCCATGTACAAGACAGTGAAGGGGTTAACTTGTATTAACCTAAATATAATTACCATGTCTTCTTTCTTTCTTTCAACACACCGGCCGTATCCCACCAAGGTGGGGTGGCCCAAAAGGAAAAACGAAAGTAATTACCATGTATCTAGGTTAAAAAACTTTTTTTTTTTTTTTTTTTTTTTTATCACACCGGCCGATTCCCACCAAGGCAGGGTGGCCCGAAAAAGAAAAACTTTCACCATCATTCACTCCATCACTGTCTTGCCAGAAGGGTGCTTTACACTACAGTTTTTAAACTGCAACATTAACACCCCTCCTTCAGAGTGCAGGCACTGTACTTCCCATCTCCAGGACTCAAGTCCGGCCTGCCGGTTTCCCTGAATCCCTTCATAAATGTTACTTTGCTCACACTCCAACAGCACGTCAAGTATTAAAAACCATTTGTCTCCATTCACTCCTATCAAACACGCTCAAGCATGCCTGCTGGAAGTCCAAGCCCCTCGCACACAAAACCTCCTTTACCCCCTCCCTCCAACCCTTCCTTGGCCGACCCTACCCGCCTTCCTTCCACTACAGACTGATACACTCTTGAAGTCATTCTGTTTCGCTCCATTCTCTCTACATGTCCGAACCACCTCAACAACCCTTCCTCAGCCCTCTGGACAACAGTTTTGGTAATCCCGCACCTCCTCCTAACTTCCAAACTACGAATTCTCTGCATTATATTCACACCACACATTGCCCTCAGACATGACATCTCCACTGCCTCCAGCCTTCTCCTCGCTGCAACATTCATCACCACGCTTCACACCCATATAAGAGCGTTGGTAAAACTATACTCTCATACATTCCCCTCTTTGCCTCCAAGGACAAAGTTCTTTGTCTCCACAGACTCCTAAGTGCACCACTCACTCTTTTTCCCTCATCAATTCTATGATTCACCTCATCTTTCATAGACCCATCCGCTGACACGTCCACTCCCAAATATCTGAATACGTTCACCTCCTCCATACTCTCTCCCTCCAATCTGATATTCAATCTTTCATCACCTAATCTTTTTGTTATCCTCATAACCTTACTCTTTCCTGTATTCACCTTTAATTTTCTTCTTTTGCACACCCTACCAAATTCATCCACCAATCTCTGCAACTTCTCTTCAGAATCTCCCAAGAGCACAGTGTCATCAGCAAAGAGCAGCTGTGACAACTCCCACTTTGTGTGTGATTCTTTATCTTTTAACTCCACGCCTCTTGCCAAGACCCTCGCATTTACTTCTCTTACAACCCCATCTATAAATATATTAAACAACCACGGTGACATCACACATCCTTGTCTAAGGCCTACTTTTACTGGGAAAAAATTTCCCTCTTTCCTACATACTCTAACTTGAGCCTCACTATCCTCGTAAAAACTCTTCACTGCTTTCAGTAACCTACCTCCTACACCATACACTTGCAACATCTGCCACATTGCCCCCCTATCCACCCTGTCATACGCCTTTTCCAAATCCATAAATGCCACAAAGACCTCTTTAGCCTTATCTAAATACTGTTCACTTATATGTTTCACTGTAAACACCTGGTCCACACACCCCCTACCTTTCCTAAAGCCTCCTTGTTCATCTGCTATCCTATTCTCCGTCTTACTCTTAATTCTTTCAATTATAACTCTACCATACACTTTACCAGGTACACTCAACAGACTTATCCCCCTATAATTTTTGCACTCTCTTTTATCCCCTTTGCCTTTATACAAAGGAACTATGCATGCTCTCTGCCAATCCCTAGGTACCTTACCCTCTTCCATACATTTATTAAACAATTGCACCAACCACTCCAAAACTATATCCCCACCTGCTTTTAACATTTCTATCTTTATCCCATCAATCCCGGCTGCCTTACCCCCTTTCATTTTACCTACTGCCTCACGAACTTCCCCACACTCACAACTGGCTCTTCCTCACTCCTACAAGATGTTATTCCTCCTTGCCCTATACACGAAATCACAGCTTCCCTATCTTCATCAACATTTAACAATTCCTCAAAATATTCCTTCCATCTTCCCAATACCTCTAACTCTCCATTTAATAACTCTCCTCTCCTATTTTTAACTGACAAATCCATTTGTTCTCTAGGCTTTCTTAACTTGTTAATCTCACTCCAAAACTTTTTCTTATTTTCAACAAAATTTGTTGATAACATCTCACCCACTCTCTCATTTGCTCTCTTTTTACATTGCTTCACCACTCTCTTAACCTCTCTCTTTTTCTCCATATACTCTTCCCTCCTTGCATCACTTCTACTTTGTAAAAACTTCTCATATGCTAACTTTTTCTCCCTTACTACTCTCTTTACATCATCATTCCACCAATCGCTCCTCTTCCCTCCTGCACCCACTTTCCTGTAACCACAAACTTCTGCTGAAGACTCTAACACTACATTTTTAAACCTACCCCATACCTCTTCGACCCCATTGCCTATGCTCTCATTAGCCCATCTATCCTCCAATAGCTGTTTATATCTTACCCTAACTGCCTCCTCTTTTAGTTTATAAACCTTCACCTCTCTCTTCCCTGATGCTTCTATTCTCCTTGTATCCCATCTACCTTTTACTCTCAGTGTAGCTACAACTAGAAAGTGATCTGATATATCTGTGGCCCCTCTATAAACATGTACATCCTGAAGTCTACTCAACAGTCTTTTATCTACCAATACATAATCCAACAAACTACTGTCATTTCGCCCTACATCATATCGTGTATACTTATTTATCCTCTTTTTCTTAAAATATGTATTACCTATAACTAAACCCCTTTCTATACAAAGTTCAATCAAAGGGCTCCCATTATCATTTACACCTGGCACCCCAAACTTACCTACCACACCCTCTCTAAAAGTTTCTCCTACTTTAGCATTCAGGTCCCCTACCACAATTACTCTCTCACTTGGTTCAAAGCCTCCTATACATTCACTTAACATCTCCCAAAATCTCTCTCTCTCCTCTGCATTCCTCTCTTCTCCAGGTGCATACACGCTTATTATGACCCACTTCTCGCATCCAACCTTTACTTTAATCCACATAATTCTTGAATTTACACATTCATATTCTCTTTTCTCCTTCCATAACTGATCATTTAACATTACTGCTACCCCTTCCTTTGCTCTAACTCTCTCAGATACTCCAGATTTAATCCCATTTATTTCCCCCACTGAAACTCTCCTACCCCCTTCAGCTTTGTTTCGCTTAGGGCCAGGACATCCAACTTCTTTTCATTCATAACATCAGCAATCATCTGTTTCTTGTCATCCGCACTACATCCACGCACATTTAAGCAACCCAGTTTTATAAAGTTTTTCTTCTTCTCTTTTTTAGTAATTGTATACAGGAGAAGGGGTTACTAGCCCATTGCTCCCGGCATTTTAGTCGCCTCATACGACACGCATGGCTTACGGAGGAAAGATTCTTTTCCACTTCCCCATGGACAATAGAAGAAATAAAAAAGAACAAGAGCTATTTAGAAAAAGGAGAAAAACCTAGATGTATGTATATATATATATGCATGTGCGTGTCTGTGAAGTGTGACCAAAGTGTTAGTAGGAGTAGCAAGATATCCCTGTTATCTTAGCGTGTTTATGAGACAGAAAAAGAAACCAGCAATCCTACCATCATGCAAAACAATTACAGGTTTTTGTTTCACAGTCATCTGGCAGGACGGTAGTACTTCCCTGGGTGGTTGCTGTCTACCAACCTACGCCTGTGATAATGAAAGGAACAGGTAGAGAACAGCTTTACAATTTCATGCATGCATGCCATTCAATAATCTTTCAATAAATTAAGCCTGTGATCATTCTTGAGATTCAAAATTCTAATGAACTTTCCAGTTTTACAATATCAAACACTGTGGGTGTTAATTATACCACTAAATTCATTCAAAAATGTGTAGAAAAAAAAATTAATTATCAAGGGCACATTTGTATTGTCCCCCCAAACTAAAAATGTCACGAATGCTTCAAATTGATCAGTCCAACACATTCACGTTTTTGCCCCCACAGCACAATACACTACTGGACTGTGGACAACTGACAAATTCTGCCTTTATTTTTTCCAATTGTACTGCTCTGAGCAACCCAACTCTTGCCAGGAAAGATCATGCACACACACCCAGTGCACAATAACTGAGGAGGGGGGGGGGGGGAGAGAAGCTTTCCACCTGACTAGCCAGCCTGTGAGCCAATGGCATACAGGCTAGCCAGTGTTTCAGCAAGATTACAAATAGTAGTTTTCTTGCGATATTTGTAGCAACATCTCATGAATGTTTTATGAAGATCTGAAGCATTAAAAGGATGTTTAAAATAGTCTGTCTATTAACTTCCACAAAACATACACAATACAGTGGACCCTCGGCTAACGAATGCATCGCATGACGTTAAATCCGCCCAACGAAGCGTTTGAGCGTAAATTTTTTGGCCTGGCTAACGATAAAAAATTCGCCCAATGTGACTCGTCCGGTACGCGTCCACGTGTGGCCTGAGTGCGCCTCAGCTGCGCGGTGTGTGCCAGTGTTTACAAGCCAACCAGTATGGTCGCATCTACGCATACATTCGGTACATTTCATATTATCACAGTGCTTTTAGTGCTTGTAACTGCAAAATAAGTCACCATGGGCCCCAAGAAAGTTTCTAGTGCCAACCCTGTGGTAAAAAGGGTGAGAATTAGTATGGAATTGAAAACAGAGATTAAGGAAATGTGTGCAAAGTGGATTGAACTGCAAACCTTTATGGCTGAAAATCACCCTAACACAGCTATTGCAAGCTGTGCTGGTGACTATTACACTGACAATGTTGTGGCCCATTTTAGGTACAGAGGTACAGAGCTCTATGGACAGATTTGTTGTGTGACAGAGGTCCAGTGACTCTCAAGCGGGTCCTAGTGGCATTAAAAGAAGAAGGGAAGTAACCCCAGAAAAGGACTTGCTACCTCAAGTCCTCATGGAAGGGGATTCCCCTTCCAAACAATAACAACTTCCACCATCTCCCCAACTCCCATCCCATCAATCATCACCAGATCTTCAATAAAGGTAAGTGTCATGTATTCTTTATTTAGTACAGTAGTAACTGTGCATGTCGTCTTATTTTTGTGTGTTGGAAAATGTATATTCATGTGGTAAATTTTTTTTTTCATACTTTGGGGTGTCAGGAACGGATTAATTTGATTTCCATTATTTCTTATGGGGAAAATTAATTCAGCTAACGATAATTTCATCTAACGATGAGCTATCAGGAATGGATTAATATCGTTAGCCGAGGGTCCATTGTATACAGTGACCACTTGAGCTTTCAATAAATTATTTACAGGTTTTATTGAAATAATGTGTAATACATAAGAATCAAGAAGCAGGGATAAATATCAAAATAAATGAAATGTGTTTTTGAGTCGGAATACTACAGCAAATGCACTATTTTAAGACCTCAAGAAGAAAGGCGAGACTGGCATCAATGGAAACTCTGACTGATAGTCAAGGCTGGATTAACAAATTTAGGTAGCATGGTTAAGGGCATGGTTGAAAATTATACACCCAACTCAACCACAGGGATATCAAAGAAGAGTAAAAGAGGTGAAAAAGAGTTGAGAACAACACAAAGTAGACTCCACATGATATTTTCTATTCATACCAGTTGTTTCTCTTTTATTTTTATTTGCCTAAATTTGTCTGTGTAGTCTTCCAAGTTATATGCGGCTCTAACACTTTGTGCGTTGTTTTACAGAAAATAATGAGAAAGCTCCCACACATTTTTCTGGACAACAATATCAACAGCGACATCTGAAGTGATACTGGGTTCTTAGCATGTTCATATAACAAAAATGTTCAAGATAGAGCACAGAATGATTGTGTTTATTAAGTCATTAATTAAACAACCTTATCATTGTAGTGACTGAAAAGGCAATTTTTTTTATACTGTAACCCTCCCGAACTCTGCAAGTATTTCTGAAATACCCTTAACCTTAACAGATGGGTCCTACACAGATGACAACAAGGAAATGAGTGAGCTACTCAAGTCCCAATATGACTCAGTTTTTAGCAAGCCGCTAACCAGACTGAGAGTCGAAGATCAAAATGAATTTTTTATGAGAGAGCCACAAAATTTGATTAACACAAGCCTATCCGATGTTATCCTGACGCCAAATGACTTCGAACAGGCGATAAATGACATGCCCATGCACTCTGCCCCAGGCCCAGACTCATGGAACTCTGTGTTCATCAAGAACTGCAAGAAGCCCCTATCACGAGCCTTTTCCATCCTATGGAGAGGGAGCATGGACACGGGGGTCGTCCCACAGTTACTAAAAACAACAGACATAGCCCCCTCTCACAAAGGGGGCAGTAAAGCAACAGCAAAGAACTACAGACCAATAGCACTAACATCCCATATCATAAAAATCTTTGAAAGGGTCCTAAGAAGCAAGATCACCACGCATCTAGAAACCCATCAGTTACACAACCCAGGGCAACATGGGTTTAGAACAGGTCGCTCCTGTCTGTCTCAACTATTGGACCACTACGACAAGGTCCTAAATGCACTAGAAGACAAAAAGAATGCAGATGTAATATATACAGACTTTGCAAAAGCCTTCGACAAGTGTGACCATGGCGTAATAGCGCACAAAATGCGTGCTAAAGGAATAACAGGAAAAGTCGGTCGATGGATCTATAATTTCCTCACTAACAGAACACAGAGAGTAGTCGTCAACAGAGTAAAGTCCGAGGCAGCTACGGTGAAAAGCTCTGTTCCACAAGGCACAGTACTCGCTCCCATCTTGTTCCTCATCCTTATATCCGACATAGACAAGGATGTCAGCCACAGCACCGTGTCTTCCTTTGCAGATGACACCCGAATCTGCATGACAGTGTCTTCCATTGCAGACACTGCAAAGCTCCAGGCAGACATCAACCAAATCTTTCAGTGGGCTGCAGAAAACAATATGAAGTTCAACGATGAGAAATTTCAATTACTCAGATATGGTAAACATGAGGAAATTAAATCTTCATCAGAGTACAAAACAAATTCTGGCCACAAAATAGAGCGAAACACCAACGTCAAAGACCTGGGAGTGATCATGTCGGAGGATCTCACCTTCAAGGACCATAACATTGTATCAATCGCATCTGCTAGAAAAATGACAGGATGGATAATGAGAACCTTCAAAACTAGGGAGGCCAAGCCCATGATGACACTCTTCAGGTCACTTGTTCTATCTAGGCTGGAATATTGCTGCACACTAACAGCACCTTTCAAGGCAGGTGAAATTGCCGACCTAGAAAATGTACAGAGAACTTTCACGGCGCGCATAACGGAGATAAAACACCTCAATTATTGGGAGCGCTTGAGGTTCCTAAACCTGTATTCCCTGGAACGCAGGAGGGAGAGATACATGATTATATACACCTGGAAAATCCTAGAGGGACTAGTACCGAACTTGCACACGAAAATCACCCACTACGAAAGCAAAAGACTTGGCAGACGATGCACCATCCCCCCAATGAAAAGCAGGGGTGTCACTAGCACGTTAAGAGACCATACAATAAGTGTCAGGGGCCCGAGACTGTTCAACTGCCTCCCAGCACACATAAGGGGGATTACCAACAGACCCCTGGCAGTCTTCAAGCTGGCACTGGACAAGCACCTAAAGTCAGTTCCGGATCAGCCGGGCTGTGGCTCGTATGTTGGTTTGCGTGCAGCCAGCAGCAACAGCCTGGTTGATCAGGCTCTGATCCACCAGGAGGCCTGGTCTCAGACCGGGCCGCGGGGGCGTTGACCCCCGGAACTCTCTCCAGGTAAACTCTCCAGTACTTGACATGGTAGAATGCCCATGCTCTCTGCCCCAGGCTCAAACACTTACAGCTTTATATTCATTATGTATAAAAAAAAAAAAAATAAAATCCTAATACCTGTAATCCATACTCTTCTCTTACCTTACTGCGAGCACCACCAGCAACTTCAGAACAGACTTGACTCAAGCTGCCTGACTTGTGGAGCTTCTTTGAATCATTTGAAGCTGCTTCTGTCTTGTTTAAATTCTGTATACAAAATAAATTTGCTGATAAAAGAAACTAATAACTACATTAATAATGCCAGTGTCAAAATACACTCATTAAAAGAAATGTGATACGTAAATTTAAGAGATCGTTATTTTATTGTAGATAGTTTAAGAGAAGGAAAACAAAAGATAAATATGATGAAGCACCAAATGCAATAGTAGCCCTTTCAGGGTCCAGAACCCCGATCTGAAACTTGTCCATAGGGTCTAAGAATTTAAAAAAAAAAAATGTTGTTGTTTTTTCTTATAAAATGGTGAATCCTTTTCTGAAACTAATGAAACAAAAAGTATGAAATGGGACAAAATTATGCTACTGCGAATTTTGCCGTGTCAGCGATATTTATGCATTGGCAATTTTGCCCAATTTGACTCCTATTTTAGGCCAATTACATTGTTCCAGTCAACCAAATTCTTAGCTATTTCATTAGTATGCATTCTATTTTATTGACTGAGCACAAGAAATCACTCAATTAGCTATTTCAACTACCAACAGTGATCAGAAATTGGTAATTTGGCAAATTTCAAACAAATTTCAAAACAGGGTCCAGAATAAGCAATACAGGCATTCCTGGCACTAAAATAACATTTCCTCTGTTTACTAGGTATGTTTCCAGGCTTTACACATGAATTCCATTTTGATTTTTTACTCGTACAATTTTTGTTCTCACCAAAAATAGAAGATTTACTGTTATGCAAAATTGTAAAAATTGTATAAATAATATCAGCACATTCATGAACACACCTCAGACCCACCAGTTGATGTGTATTTGATGCACAATGTGATTATTTACTCTTGAATAGTGGCAAAAATCGAACATTTCCAGTACTTTGAGCTTAATTCCAAGCTATTTTCAGTCCTAAAATCAAAATCATCTCTATTCCTGTAATTTATCTTCCATTCTATTAAATGAGATCAAGAAACTGTGAATACAACCAAAAAAACAAATGAAAATACACTGCAAAGTCACTGTTTTAAGCCAAAAACATGGTTGCAGTTTTTTCATTATGCACTGCATGCTGCAGGATTCTTTTTTAAATGGTGTACACTTAACCACAAACCCATTCTCTCATATCTAGGCCCAAATTTACCTCTCAAAGCTTATCTAAGTGAGCTGAGCTCATCACGTAGTATTACGGCATGGACCCTGGCTTTAAGCCCTTAGAACAACAGCACAGACCCTGAAAGGTTAACTATAATACTGGCTGTATCTCTTGATGGGAGATGGTATGTTTTAAAAATTAAGAAAATTCAACTGAGTGACTGAGTTTGAAACCCACAGTCCTGATATAACCAGGCCAATGATTTAGTTCACAGCACCAAAGATTAAGCAGACAGGCTGGTAATCCCAGATTGTGGGTACAAATCACGGTGGATACAAATCCTGATCTCTTCAATCATTTCTGAATTTGTTCATTAATTTTCAGTACAGATACACTATACAGTGGAACCTCAAAAATCGAACTGCTCCCAACACAACCAATTATGTAAGTGTATTTTTGTAAGGGGTTCAGGGAAACCGGCAGGCCGGACTTGAGTCCTGGAGATGGGAAGTACAGTGCCTGCACTCTGAAGGAGGGGTGTTAATGTTGCAGTTTATAAACTGTAGTGTAAAGCACCCTTCTGGCAAGACAGTGATGGAGTGAATGATGGTGAAAGTTTTTCTTTTTCGGGCCACCCTGCCTTGGTGGGAATCGCCCAGTGTGATAATAAAATAAAAAAATTTTGTAAGTGCTTTTATAAGTGTATTTTTGAGGGTCTGAAATGGACTAACCTAATTTACATTATTCCTCATGGGAATAAATTCATTCGGTAAAGGCACTCAAACAGCCTTCTGGACCAAAGAAAGTTCGATATTTGAGGTTCCACTGTACAGAGAAAATGATTCAGATCCAGGTAGGATGAAAAACTAAAAGACCAATTTGAAAAAAAAAAAAGTTTATCACTGGATATTTCTTTAAAATGCTTTATATCTATGCAAATTTTATTTGTTTGATAATACAAAGGAAAAATACGGTAGAATAAAGAAGACAGCAGCTCAAATACAAAAAGACTAAAAAAAAATATACACTGGTTAGAGATGAACTCTTAATAATCTGGAAAGATATGTACAGTACGGTTGCAAGACCCAACACACAATATAATTACATGATTTTTTATAAACCTGACAGCAAGAGTAATCAAATTTCACAATAATTATTATTATGCAATTTCAGCAAAATAGCCATGAACCCCTAGAAGCATTGACTAAGGGAATGATTGGAGTATTTAAAAAATAAAGGCAAATATAAAAAAGAAATTTAAGTGTTCTAGCCATCTTCCTTGTGGCAACTCTAATTACCACTTGTCACATATTGCTCAGCAAATTAGTTCAAAATTCAAATTATAGTACAAATTTTCCCTCATGAAAATTATAAACTGCACAACCATTATATTTCAGATTTCAAATCCATTATTAGACAGTTATTATTACTATATAGATATTATACTAGTCGTTCACTGTAAAACTTTGTTGTCACCCTGTAAAAATCTAAATGTACAAAAAGTTTTACCTGTAAGGAACCTCCTTCTCGTTGGCTTGTGCTTGCTCGAGCAGCATCCCTAGGACGACGACCCTTTCTCTTTACGGTCTCAAAAGAACCACGTGATAAGTTTCCACATGAACCACCTGTAGGAGTTGCATTTATTAGCCCAAACCTTGAGTAAATACAGTACTCAAAAATCACTCAAAAAAATTATAATACCAAAACTGCGTGAAAAGTAATCTATCATGCATTAAAGTATGAAATATTTCATGATTAACTTCAAAATTAGATTAAGAATAGTACAGCCTCTCCTCACTTAACGATATAGTCCCATTCCTAAGACTTTTATACAGTAGTGTACTGTATATTGCAATAAACAAAATAGAGGAAATCAGCTCTAATATACATTGTTTAGGTTTGCATACTGGTCAGAGAACCTGTCGTAAGTCTGAGTCGCCGGTAAATGAGTACATCACTAAGTGAGGAGAGGCTGTGTGTGTATATACATACATACAGTGGTACCTCGAGTTACAAACTTAATTCGTTCCAGAAGGCTGTTCGAGTGCCGATACTGAATGAATGTGTTCCCATAAGGGATAATGGAGACAAATGGTTTTTGGGACCTGACAAGCTGTTGGAGTGTGAGCAGGGTAATATTTAGTGAAGGGATTCAGGGAAACCGGTTATTTTTATAGAGCCGGACTTGAGTACAAGTCGGCCATCTCTCACTGAAGTAGGGTGACCCAAAAAGAAAGAAAATTCCCAAAAAGAAAATACTTTCATCATCATTCAACACTTTCACCTAACTCATACATAATCACTGTCTTTGCAGAGGTGCTTAGATACGGCAGTTTAGAAGCCCCTCCAAACTGTCAATATCCCAGACCCTTCCTTTAAAGTGCAGTCATTGTACTTCCCATTTCCAGGACTTGAGTCTGGATAAATCTATAATAACCAGTTTCCTTGAATCCCTTCAATAAATATTACCATGCTCACACTCCACATATACATGTGCATGTGTGTGTGTGTGTTTACACACACACACACACACACACACATGCACACACACACACAGTGGACCCTCGTTTTTTGTAATTACCCCTTTCAGGGTCAAGAGGCCCTCTCCTAAACTCGTTCTCAGGGTCGAAAATTTAAAAAAAAAAAAAAATTGAAATGACAATCTTTTCCTGATCATAACGACACCAAAAGTATGAAATTTGATGGAAAACTTACGGAATTATGCTCTCTTGAAGTTAGTGGTCTCGTTTACGCATCGGCAATTTCGCCCACTTTGAGCCCTATTTTCGGTCAATTTCAGTGTACTAGTCGACAAAAATCATATCTATTTCGCTAGAACTCCATTTTTTTCTATCGAATGAGTACAAGAAACCACCCATTTACCGATTTCAAGTATCCAATGAAGTGGTCAGAAATTGGCAATTTTGCCAATTTCACACAAATTTCATAAGATGCCAATTTCCAAATAGGGTCCAGAATAAGCAAGACAGACATTCCTGGCACTAAAATGACATTTTCCCTGTTCATTAGTCATGTTCCCAGGCCCCTCTTACATCTCTTTTGCTTTCCACTTTGAATTTTTTATTCTCACAAAAAATAGATGATTTACTGTTAAGTGTAGAAATGGTATAAATAATATCAGTGCACTTGTGAAAGAATATTAGATTCACCAGTTGAAGTGTATTGGATGCTTGGCATGATTTGTTTACTTTTGAAATTTGGTAAAAATTGAACATTTATGCTACTTTGAGCTCAATTTCAAGGTACTTTTCATTAAGAAACCAATCAAAATCATCTCAATTTCTGTAATATGTCTTCCATTCTATAAAATGAGACCAGGAAAACTAGAATACAACCATAAATACCATACGAAAACACGCTGCAAATTCGCTGTTTTAAACCCAAAAAAATTCGGTCGGAGTTTTTTTTTTCTCATTATGCACTGTGTGCTGCAGGATTTTTTTTATACTGTGCACAATGACCATAGACCCATTCTTTCATATGTAGGCCTACCAGCTTTCTCTCACTAGATTTGAAGGCGCTAGAATTTAGGCGTTCCAGTACGTCAATAACCCTGGTGCGTAAGCCGTACTAGTACGTCAGAAACCCTGAAAGGGTTAATCCGCTCCAGTGTGACTAATGGCAAAACTGACGATTTGCGAAACCATTTTCCCCATAAGGCTGTTGTTGGTGGATGGAAGACAGGGAGGAGGGGAGAGGGAAGAGAGGTTTTTCCTTGGAAGGGGAATTCCCCTCCATAAGGACTCTAGGTACCAAGTCCTTATCCAGGGTCACTTCCTTTCTTTGTTTTTTAATGCCACAAATCTTTCCATCCTACTCCACATTACACAAATCTCCATTACTACCACCCTCTATCATCATCATAACCACTACCACCCTCTTCCACCATCACAACCACTACTGCCCTCTTCCACCATCACTACCACCTTCTACCACCATCACTGCCACCAACATAACCGTTTCCACCCTCTTCCACTATCACTATCACCCTCTACCACTATCACCACCACTACCACTTTTGTGGTAGTCACCTTTACCAAGGGTTGGCACTAGCTTTCTTTTGGCCCATGGTGGCTTATTTAGCAGTTGCAAGCACCAAAATGAATGGAATATTACAAAATGTATTGTATGAATGCGTGGGATCGTACTCACCCGCTGATAAACAATGGGACACTGACTGTGGCTGCGCCGGGGCTGCTCGTACGCGTCTGGGACGAATGACTATTTGAGAGTCAAATGACGATTCACGAGTCATTTTGACGAAAAAACATCACGATTTTTGAAAATTACGACTTCCAATGCTTACAAAAAAGAGGGTCCACTGTATATATATACACACCCCACACACATACATACATACAGTCAGTGGTATCTCAAGTTTCGAACAGCTTCCAACTCGAACAATTATGTAAGTGTACTTTTGTAAGTGCTTTTGTAAGTATATTTTTGGGGGTCTGAAACAGACTAATGTCATTTACATTATTCCTTACAGGAACAAATTCGTTCGGCATCGGCACTCGAACAGCCTTCTGGAATGAATTAAGTTTATAACTTGAGGTACTACTGTATATATTTTTTTTTAAACATCAGTCGTCTCCCACCAAGGCAGGGTGACCCAAAAAAAGAAAGAAAATCCCCAAAAAGAAAATACTTTCATCATCATTCAACACTTTCACTTAACTCATACAATATCACTGTCTTTGCAGAGGCAGTCAGATACGACAGTTTGGAAGTCCTTCCAAATTGCCAATACGGTAGGGCCCCGCTTTATGGCGTTCTGCTAATATTCATTTCAAATTATGACCAAAACTCGCTATACGGCTCCCCCCCCACCTGACTTTCTAATATGGTCACCACGCCCCACCCAGTTTGTTTACATTCTCCGTGAGTACTACATCTCTCCATTATATCTGGAAACTCCAAAATTTCAAGTGTTTTTAAAAGTTATTTCATATTGTATATATACTCTGATAATTATACTTATGTATACCTGTACCTAAATAAACTTACACACTGTGCTAGATGCAGGTACACATTAAAATCAGTAAGAGTGTTATGTCTCTAGATGCCATATTAGTAATTTTTTTTTTTTTTCAACAAGTCGGCCGTTTCCCACCGAGGCAGGGTAATGATAATAATAATACACTCAATAATAATCACTAAGTCTCATTAAATGTTGTACATTACGTTAATACACACATTTTCATTAAATCATCTATGATATTTTTTCAAAATTATATAATCAACAAGATACATAACACAAAGATGATAAATACACCCCATAGTAGAATAAATAAACAAATATGATATGTGGTAGCCAGACAACTTGTACAAGTGATGGCAAGAATAACGTTTTCTCTAGTCCAACATAAGAGAAAATGTGTTACTGGGCATAACTGTAGAAAATTATTCCTTTTGTTTGCCTTCACTCAGAGTGCCATTTCTTCTATAAATGGTGTTACATGAGAATGGGAGTGTTCCTCTTTATTTATTCTACTGTAACAATGTAGAGACAACTTGTACACAAACCAGACGTGTACACCTGATTTGTTTACAAAACTGGCATTCGCCTGGTTTGTTTACATAACTCGGTGAGTGTCCCCTCTCATGTACTCATTCTCTCTCTCTTATTTGTTTTATCTCATTTACTCACCTCTGACCCTACATTAAGACTACAAATATTTTAAGGTAAGTAATGAATGTATTATATGTGTACGTATTTTACTTTTTTTATTGTTTTTTAATGCCTAGTTCTATTGCTAACTTAATATATGCTAGTGTAAACTTGTTATCTAGTATTTCTATGCACTTATAAATGGAAAAAAAGGGTGTTCCACTTTACGGCAGTAGCCTGGAACCTAACCTGCCGTATAAATGGGGCCCTACTGCATCCCAAACCAAGTGCAGACATTGTACTTCCCATTTCCATTACTCAAGTCCAGATAACCGGTTTCCCTGAATCCCTTTACAAAATATTAACCTGCTCTCACTCCAACAGCTTGTCAGGTCCCAAAAACCATTTGTCTCCATTCACTCCTCACACACACACACACACACACACACACACACACACACACACACACACACACACACACACACACACACACACACACACACACGTGCATGCACGCTTGCTGGAAGGCCAAGGCCCTTGCCCACAAAACCTCCTTTACCCCCTCCCTCCAACCTTTTTGAGGACGACCCCCTACCTAGCCTTCCTTCCTCTCACAGATTTATACACTTTTCAAGACATTCTACTTTGATCCATTCTCTCTAAATGACCAAATCACCTCAACAACCCCTCTCCAGGTTTCTGACTAATACTTTTAATAACTCCACACCTCCTCCTAATTTCCACACTCCAAATTCTCTGCATAATATTTACACCACACATTGCTCTTAGACATCTCCACTGCCTCCAGTTGCCTCCTTGATGCAGCATTTGCAACCCAAGCTTCACACCCATACAAGTGTGTTGGTACCACTATACCTTCATACATTCCCTTCTCTGCCTCCATGGATAACATTTTTTTTTTCTCCAGATACCCCAATGCACCACTCACCTTTTTTTCTTCATCAATTCTATGGTTAAACTCATCCTTCATAAACCTATCTGCTGACAAGTCAAATCTGAAATATCTGAAAACATTTACTTCTTCCATACTCCCTTTCTCCAATGTGATATCCAATTTTTCTTATCTAAAATGTTTGATACCCTCATCACCTTACTCTCATCTAGTACCTATTCCATACAGTTGCAACATCTGTCACATTGCTCCCCCATCCCCTATCATATGCCTTTTCTAAATCCATACATGCAATGAAAACGTCCCTACCTTTATCTAAATACTGTTCACATATATGCTTCAATGTAAGCACTTGATCTACATATCCCCTACCCACTCTAAAGCCTCCTTGCTCATCTGCAATCCTACTCTCTGTCCTACCTCTAATTCTTTATATAATAACCCTACCATACACTTTACCTGATATACTCATTCCCCTATAATTTTTACAATCTTTTATCCCCCTTCCCTTTATATAAAGGAACTATACACACTCTCTGCCAATCCCTAGGTACCTTCCCCTCTTTCATACATTTATTAAACAGAAAATACCAACCACTCCAACACTATATCCCCCCCCCCACGCTTTTTAAGATTTCTCTCATGATCCCGTCAGTTCCAGCTGCTTTACCCACTTTCATTTTACGTAATGCCTTGCGCACCTCCCCCACACTCGCATCCTGTTTTTCTTCACTCCTTAAAGATGTTATACCTCCTTGGACAGTGCATGAAATTACCGCCTCCCTTTCTTTACTGACATTTAACCCTTAAACTGTCCAAACATAGATCTATGTTCGCATGTGTAGCGCTCCGAACGTAGATCTACGTTCAATTTTACATTGTTTATGTAAAAAAACAAGTAGATCTACGTTCGGAGCGCTGTGCGTGCAAACGTAGATCTACGTTCGGACAGTTTAAGGGTTAAAAGTTCCTCAAAATATTCTTGCCATCTACCCAATACCTCCAGTTCCCCATCAACTAACTCCCCTGGTAATAGAGTTGTGGATGAGTGGAACAAGCTCCAGAGTACAGTTATTGAGGCTAAAACGTTGTGTAGTTTTAAAATAGGTTAGATAAATACATGAGTGGGTGTGAGTTGGACCTGACTAGCTTGTGCTGCTGGGTCTGGTACAGTGCTCCATCCTTGAGTGGGGATGACTAGACTGGGTGGGTCATTGGGATAATCCGGGGGGTGGGTCATTGGTCGAATCCGGGGGGGGGGGGGGGGGGGGGCATGGACCTGCTCCGCATGGGTCAGTAGGCCTGTTGCAGTGTTCCTTCTTTCTTATGTTCTACTCTGTTTTTAACTGACAAATCCAGTCATTCCCTAGGCTTTCTTAACTTACATGATTTTGGTATAGATGATATGTCAGGAGAAAAGTGGTGATACAAAACTCAATCACTCAAGATTCAAAAAAAGGGGAAAGCCAAATAAAAATTTTATTTAAGCAAAAACCAAATGATCTACAGTGTACTGAATTATAGAGATAGGAATAATTTTCATATTACTTACATATAAATATACAGTGGAACCTCAACACTAACTTAATTCGTTCCAGAAGGCTGTTCAAGTGCCGCTCTGTCCGAGTACCGAACAAAATTTTCCCAACCAATTTTCTTTTAGGTTGGCTGTTATCACTAACCCTTTTAGGCCCCATTGTGACTTATTTAAACATAAAAAAAAATGCCAAAAATTGCAAAGACACACGAAATAATTTAGAAGTGAAGTTCTGGCAGGTCATGTTTGTATACCAAATTGTTTGAGTACGGAGCTGTTTGAGTACTGAGGCTCCACTGTATTAAGACATGGACAGAGGAAAAATAAAATGTCTTGGTTTAAAACCCCTAGTAGCATACATATAGTCAATATTAGTGTATACCATATGGGAATTTGCCTATGTGCATCCCACAACAGTTGCCTCATCACTGTTGAAAGGGTCAAGCAAATTATGTACTGAACTACACCGTTTCCTGGGTTAACTTTAAGAGGAAATCTTCCTCTTCTATTACCCAGTAGCAAGCCATATAAATCCTTCGTCTGCCCTAAATTATTAATTTTCAAACGAAACCTCTATTTATCACATCACAACCTCTACCACTCTTCCTATTACTTCATCTTCCCTTATACAGTGGACCCTCGACCAACGATGGCATCGTCTAATGTTAAATCCGACAAGCGATACATTTTAACGCAAAAATTTTGCCTCGACTAGCTCTAAAAAACTCGACCAACACTATTCATTCTGTTCGAGACGTGTCCACTTGTGGCCAGTGTTTACAAGCCATCCAGCCACCATGGTCCCATCCAAACATACAATCGGAACATTTCATATTATCACAGCGTTTTTAGTGATTGCACCTGCAAAATAAGTCACCATGGGCCCCAAGAAAGCTTCTAGTGCCAACCCTACAACAAAAAGGGTGAGAATTACTATGGATATGAAGAAAGAGATCATTGCTAAGTATGAAAGTGGAGTGCGTGTCTCCAAGCTGGCTAGGTTGTACACAAAACCCCAATCAACCATCGTTACTATTGTGGCCAAGAAAACGGCAATCAAGGAAGCTGTTCTTGCCAAAGGTGCAACTATGTTTTCGAAACTGAGATCGCAAGTGATAGAAGATGTTGAGAGACTGTTATTGGTGTGGATAAACGAAAAACAGATAGCAGGAGATAGCATCTCTCAAGCGATCATATGTGAAAAGGCTAGGAAGTTGCATGACGATTTAATTAGAAAAATGCCTGCAACTAGTGGTGATGCGAGTGAATTTAAGGCCAGCAAAGGTTGGTTTGAGAGATTTAAGAATCATAGTGGCATACATAGTGTGATAAGGCATGGTGAGGCTGCCAGTTCGGACCAAAAAGCAGCTGAAAAATATGTGCAGGAATTCAAGGAATACATAGACAGTGAAAAATTGAAAACTGAACAAGCGTTTAATTGTGACACTGACAATGTTGTGAAACACTTTAGGAATGTCATAAAGGAACGGGAGGTACAGGCCTCTATGGACAAATATGTTGTGCGACAGAGGTCCAGTGACTCAAGTTGGTCCTAGTGGCATTAAAAGAAGAAGGGAAGTAACCCTGGAAAAGGACTTGACACCTCAAGTCCTAATGGAAGGAGATTCCCCTTCTAAACACTAACACCATCCACACACTCCCCTCCTCCCATCCCATCAATCATCACCAGATCTTCAATAAAGATAAGTGTCATGTAATTGTACATGTCTTCTTCAGTTTGTGTGTATTAAAATTAATATTTCATGTGGTAAAATTTTTTTTTTTTCAATACTTTTGGGTGTCTTGCACGGATTAATTTGATTTCCATTATTTCTTATGGGGAAAATTAACTCGACTAACGATAATTTCGATTAACGATGAGCTCTCAGGAACGGATTAATATCGTTGGTCGAGGGTCCACTGTACATATACCACAAAGCCTACCCCAGCTCCTTATCTACAGCTACAGTATACTTAATGCTAAAACAGTTTTACAGTATTAGAAATACAATTTTTATTCTACTCACCCTCCCTGCAGCGTGATGCCACACCCTGATTGGGGCCAGCAACTTTTTTTGGCTGTTTTGTCTCTGAGAGGTCGTGTAAGGAGCCAAGTGATCCACCGGTACTTGTACGTGCAGCAGCTGATTGATCTCCGTTCGACTGATCCCTACGTCCTACAAGTGACTTTTTATTTCGACGTCTATAGGCTAAATCCCTAGTGTCGTCTCCAGAGCTGGACTCTTCCCTAAGAGCATCTTGCTCTTTGAGAATTAAAGCCTGTGTCAAGAATTAAAAAAATTTATCTTGAATATTTCAACCATAATTTCAAACAAGAGAAAATTCAATAACATAGTTTTCTTTGTACATTGCACAACATTTAATGAGTAGGAAACATGAAAACAATGAAACAAATTATACTTAATGAGCACTTTTACAAATACTTAGTTGAAATAAATGAAAAATCTAGGAAGCGTGATTAAAGTAATTTATTTGCAAAGAAATATGTAATTTTTTTTACTAAACACAAAAAACTTTTAAAATCCATTCTTTCTATTAGACATGAGGTGAATTGTCTTTTCAGAAATACGCGGTGAATAGGCCGAGTTTTATGTTTTGTACCAAAATGTGCAAGAATTATAAGAATAAAGCATTTTGTTGAAATAATTAGTAATAATATTAAAAAAAATAAAAATAAAATAATGTAAAGTATATATATATCTACATATATATTTCTGAGATCAATATAAAATTTGGCATTCAAGTTTACTTTAGAACACACTACAGCATAGGAAAAATTTGAGTCCTGGAAGTGGAAAGCAGAGTGCCTGCACTCTAAAGGAGGTGTGAAGATGTTGCAGTTTGGAATGTCATCTGCACTTGCAGTTTGGAATGTCATCTGCACTTGCAGTTTGGAATGTCATCTCAGCTGCAATTTTGGCACACCTTTGCCAAGACAACAAATGAATGACTGATGGGGTGTTTGTGGAAGATGGCAGGTGTTAAAAAAAAAATCTTTAAAACCTTTATGAAATCAATAACTTTTTTTTAGGCAAGAGGTAACCAAGGACCCTTATTTTACTAACAGTATTGCTACATTAACACACAGGTTTTGAGTTGTATAATTTACAAAACATTAGAATCATTTTGTTATTGCATTTTTAAAATAAAGATACTACTACCATTAATCACTCTCATCATCATTCTTCAGCCATCTTAATTTGCTATTATCAATACCAATTTGCTGGTGTCATGACCAATTTACTGTCAGAGAGATAGTCAACAATCACACTAATTTAAGTCCAGATACAAAGGCATACTGCTGATAGTATTGAAGAAAAGACCAGTGCAGTGGAAGCATTGTTGTTGCTGTTTGTGAAGTTTTGCTTACAGAGCTTTGTCAAGTCAGTTGAGATGATAGAGCTATATAAAGGCCAAAACAGTATCACAATAAAAGCTTGCTCTGTGCATATGTCTTTTCGTCAACACAATTTCAGTCTATTAGTCACAGTCCAAACCATATCCATATAACAGGTAAGCAGAGCTGGTTTTTTTTCCAAGTCACCAAACAATTCAGGCTAAAGAATAGCAGCACTATTAAGGGTTTCTTTGACTAGTGAAGATGAAAAAAGTATAGCCATTTGCACAGTTCTACCCCACTGTTTGCCATCACCATGGAGAAGCCCAGAATTGGATTATTCACAATGACCAGATGAGCAGGCATGAGAAAATTCATAAATGTACAGATTCCTTGTCTTGTGTATGTTGCTATGCAGTATATTTTACTTTTTTTTTTTTTAAACACAATGGCCATTTTCCCACCAAGGCAGGGTGACCTGAAAAAGAAGGAACACTTTCATCATCATTCACACCATCACTGTCTTGCCAGGGGAGTGTTAAATTCATAGGGGGTCATACAGCACCTTAGGCTTGGAGATAATCAGGTTTGATCAAAGGGAAGAGTAGCAAAGATTCCTGGAATCAAAAGCCCTTCACTGACAAAAAAAATCCCTCTTCCTCCACTTGTGAAGGGCCACCAAATGAAAGCATTTAGCTTTATAAAGGTTTCCACTGTATAATGACTTTTTCTCCAACATTTAATTTTAGTGCTATCAATGCTTGCTTTGTGCAGTTTCTTAAAACAGAGCCATTCATGAAATGGCAACTTGGTACTGTCAGCTAAGGTAATAATCTAGAACTTTTCTGCTATGTTGGGGGTCCCTCTTTTTGATCAAAATCTAAGAAAGATAGAGAATAATACAAATATAGAATATTAACACTCTTTCTAGGAGCTGTTTAAAGCTTTGAAATATGTCACGAGTAATTATGGATCACAGTACCAGCCTTTGTGCATTTCGCAACTTTTTTAAACTTTACTGCAAGTTCGAACAGTAATTTTCCCAAGCACTTTAAATCATGTTTAATTGAAAAAACTCTTTCTGGACGAGTATTTATGGGATTTCTACTAGTATATTCATTAGCCATTAATGTCAATAATCAGTTATGAAATAACTCCAATATCTGTTGATTTTTTTTTATATTTTTCTTAACTTTATTATGGCCAAGTCTCTACTAGACTGATTGTCCCTTAAACTAAGCCATGTGACACGAGTGCCATTCGTATCGTTACTTCTCAAATTTGGGTATAATTTACATGGGTTATTATTGGCAGACCAACACTGGAAGCCTATGGTAAATGTTGCCTACTGTCCTCCCTTGATTAGAAACTAATATTAACTCTGTTCCCATGGATAACAGGGAAGACACTATGATGGCTGGGATCCCAAGTACTACTTGGTATAAAAAAGGTATAAAGAAGCTGAAGAAAAACCTAATCAAATTTTTTTTCTTGTCACCCTACCTCAGTGGGAGACAGCCAGTGTTGAAAAAAATAAAGCAGCAATAGGAGCTAAGCAAACAGACCTTAGAAAAGACAGGGTCTCGGCATGTAATGGTACATGATTAATTTGCAACAAGACAGTGACAAAGTTTGAATAGTTAGGCAAGAACTAGTAAACCTTCCCAAAGTTTGAGTAATTTAATAGTTAATCAATGAAAGTTGTTAATTCTCATTTATAGTTTTGGATGCTATAAAAATCATTTACTGACATGATGAATGTCCATAATTTGTATCAAATGAAATTTACAAGAACTATCGAAAATGGTAAGTTTGCAATGTAAAGATAGTTAGGAGGACGAGATGATATTTGGACATTTAATTAGCGACTTCAAGCCTGCCAATAAGTCTTCCAAAAATGGAAAGAGCACAAGGTGTCACGGACTAAACGACTACAAAGGGAGTAATGGATGAGAATACAGGGTAGGAAAGAATGAGCTTGATCTTGGAGAAAAAGATGGAGAGAGAAGAGGGATGCAGATGAGAGAGAAAACAATAAGGAATGAAAATGGAGAAGAGATGAAAATGAAATTTTGAATGCATGAGAGAATGTTAACTCTAAAACGAGGAAAGAGGAGACAAGAGAAAATACTAGCACTAAAATATCTAAAAAAAGGAGAGAGAAAAGGTTAAAGGCTGTAGAACAAGAAATACCAGATACTGTAAGCATAATACCTAAGAAAATCTCAGGACAAATTCATTCCCAATTTTGTAGAAAGAGGCTCAAGATTTATTCGTGCAATTTGAAAAGATTGCTATGTTGAAAGGATGAGCAAGGAGTAATGAGCCGTGCTTGTCCAGATAAAATTTACAGGGAAAGCCAGAGGGGCATACGCTAACCTTACCCTGGAGGAGAGCGTAGATTACCAGGTGGTAAAGGACGCAGTCCTCTGGCAATTTGAGCTGGTCCCTGAAACACAGAAAAAGGTTCAGAGAAATAAGAAACCAGACCAAACCTCTGCCATTCTCGCGAGAGAATGAGAGAAAAGATGTGACAGACTGCGTCAATGTAAGGGGGTAACCAGTAAAGATGAGACGAGTGAGCCAAATGAAAAAAAAAAATTGTTGCATCCTGATGAATCTTGGATGAAACATCAATCAATGAACAGACAGCTAGAACCACAGGTGAAATCATGGTAGCTGACAAGACTTGTAAACAAAGAGTTAATAAGCAGGGAATCTTCAAATTTGTAGGGTTCACCTAGACTGCAAGAAAAGGCTTCATCTGCATATAAACAGAAAAGCAACACCACAGGGAAAGCACATGTATAGTGGAAACAAGTGTATCTCTAAAAGAAAAACTGCAAAACCCATCTGCAGTATTGGATGTGCAGCAGCAGTACAACATCAACATGTATAAAAATAAGTCGACAAGCTAGAAAAAAAAAAAAAGTCCAAAGATGATCTACAAAATAGTACCAATTAAAAAATGAGTTATTGTGTAATGAAAGGACAAAGCACATGACGAGCCATTTTTTACTGATAAAATGGAGCGAGAAAACACACCAATCATACATAAAATTACAAAATACAATAGAACGTTAATTAGCACACGGGTTACGTTCTTGAAAATTATCATGTAATCTAATTCAACACTAACTAATGTGAAGAAATTATGAAAAAGAGTTATGTTCCACAGACCTCCAAAAATGTGGCACAACTTTTTGGAACATCCTTATATGTCAAATATGACATTTTATCTTACTATACATTTTATACAGTCAAAAATGACATTTTATCTTACCATACATTCTATACAGTCATTATTTGAAGCATATGAAGAGTATGGGCAGTTTGGATGTAGTGAAGTATATTATCTGGCATACATGTAGCAAGCAGCATCAGATGGTATCTTAGGGTTGGGAGTTTGTAAGGCCACAGACAGCTATGCCATACTGAACTGTGTCTGGGAGCTGTGGAGAGAAAGCTGCAACCCTGGATTTGGCTCCCAGCAATATTGAGAGATCACAGATTTCTACTGCAATTTAACTCTTCAATACATAACTGAATTGTCTTGATTTTTATTTTCCAAGATCCATGCATGAGGGGTGGCTAACCCTCCAGGTTAAAAATTCAAACAGTGTTCAAGATTTTTAGTGTTAACTGGAGATCCACACTTCAGGTAGGAAAACTAGTGAAGGGGTTAGTCGAGGGCAGAAAAATGCCAAAGCATGTTTTGAACTTGAAGACAGGATTCAAAATGGTGTAAATAGGAGTGACTCTGAATTATCCACCCATGAAGTACAGATGATGCTCAGTGACAACTTATGGGAAAAATCAACTGTGGTCCTAGAGCTTAAGACTGATTAAAAGTCCATTGTAGGAGGGCAGAGCTCAACATGACCTCCTGAGACGTTAGACAATCAAGAAAATCAGCCACATTGTAACCCACCATGTGTGAGGAGTCTCGGGAAGATCAGAGAAGAAACGAGGAAGACTAACGCAGTAATTCTTCCTCTGCAAATCATGCGTGTCATAAAAGGTAACCAAAATGCTGGGATCAAGGAGCTAGTAACCTCTTCTCCTGTATTAATTACTAAATTTATAAAGAACATTCTAATGTTCTCCATGGAGGCAAAAGGGGAAATGTATCAGAGTAAAGTGGTACCAACACTTTTACATGGGTGTGAAGCATGGGTTTTAAACGTTGCAGTGAGGAGGCTGGAGGCAGTTGATGTATCGTTTTGAGGGCAATGTGTGAGGTGAATGGAATGCAGAGAATTTGTAACTGTAGTTTGGAGATTAGAAGCATTATACAGAAGGTTGAGAAGGGGTTATTGAGGTGGTTTGGACATTTAGAAGATGGAGCAAAATAGGATGACTTGAAGGGTGTATAAATCTGTAGTGGAGGGTTTATGAAGGTATTCTGGGAAACCAGTGAACTGGACTTGGGTCATGGAGGTGAGAAGTACAGTGCCTGCACTATGCAGGGGTGGGGATATTGCAATTTAGAGGGGAATCCGAGCTGTAATGTCCACACACCCTGGCAAGGCACAATGGAGCAAGAGACGGTGAAAGCATTTCTTTTTCGGTAGGAGACAGCTGGCGTGTTAGAATAAAAAGTAAAGAAAACTATGAGGAAGAATAACATGTCCAAAAGAGTAGTAACAGTCATGAAGACCATTTTCATGAAGAGGAAATGGACATAACCAGAGTAAGAGATGATAGTGAGAATACCTGGTTACAGGCTAAATTCAGGCAGTGAGCAATTTACTAAAGCATTTGAAGAAGCTAATAGAAAAAAAGAGAAGAAATTGGAAGAGGAGAGAATAAAGGAAGATAAAGGACAAGAATAAGATTATGTAGTGAATACTGTAGTGTAGCATCGTAATAACTCTGAAGACATAAGACAAGAAAAAGAGCAAATTAGACACAGTCAATTGGACAAGACCATGCCTAAGATAGTCCAACCAGAGAAAGCATGTAAAAGACCTTTTTGCCAAAACAAAATATTATTCTCAATGAGGCTGACCTGACTAAAAACAACTCAACAATGGCAGAGAGTGCTGCAGGGCAACTGTCGAAGAACATTCTTTGAAGTTCACCATAAAATATCTAACCCCAAAATTTGCAGAGGAAACTTTAAATGTTAAAGTTCAACCATAACCAATATTAAGTTACAGTTGGATAATGGCTTGATAATAGTCCAGGATGAACAGCCATTGTCCAAATTTTCTTCTCCAAATTGTGGATTAGTTGTGAACTGTTCCAGCCACAAATTGTGATATTCTTCCACACTTCTCACTGCTTTGTACTTACTTTTGCCTTTCACCACATCCCTATTTGCTTGCAGCTTTATAATGTTCCCAGAACCCAAAAATCTTCTAGCTTACATTTCCATTTTATAAATTAGATAACTGATTGGAATATGTATGGAAAAAGTTTGATCAAGAAAATAAGAATAAAGATAGCAATATCAAGCAGTTTTGTACTGACCAGGGCATAGGGTGAGAGGGTGTTCTTGTTTTTTCTCTTGCTAGCATTCGTGACCTCTTCCAGAAGACTCCTTAGGTCCTCTTCATTATAATTTGCTACTTCATCATATGCCTGTTGGAAATGCATAAAAATTGTCAATTCATTATAAAACAGAAATTATAAATGGTACAGTAATTACTTAATCCTACATAAGTATACAAAGAAAGTTGAGCATTATTTTCATTTTATTCCTTGGTATAAACCAAGAGAGGTATTAGCAGTGGACTGGTAAACAGCAACCACTCAAGGAGGTATTGTACAGTCACATTATAAATGAAACAGCTAGTTAACTTGTATCAAATCAAACAGCTGTACAGTAATTCACATCCATTATAAATTTTTAATACACCAGCCATTGCCCACCAAGGTAGCGAAACCTAAAAAAAAAAAAAAAAAAAGTAAAGACATACACCAACACTCATTTATCAGCTATTTTGCCAGAAGTGTGGAGACATCACAATTTAGATGACCCTTCGAACTGCAACAACCTCACCCTTTCTTCAGAGGGCAGGCACAGTACATTCCACCTCCAGAACTGAAGTCTGGCTAACCAGAGTCCTGACTCCTTTCATGTTACTTACACTTGTATAGTGTGTCAAGTCCTAAAAACCTACGTCATCCACAGAGCAATTGTGACAGCTCCCATTTTGTATTAAATTTGTTATCCTTTAATCCTACACATCTCCATCACTCCAGAATTCACTTTTTTTGCAAGCCTATCTATAAATAAGTTAAACAAATACAGTGGCATCATACAACCCTGTCTAACCTCTGGCTCTTCTATACTCCATGATGCAAGTCCTCCCTTCCCAGTACACGAAATCACCACCTCGTTTTTATCAACATTATAACACCAAATGCTCTCTCTCAAGCATCTCCCTTCATTTATTTTAACTTCTCAAGTTCATTTGCTCCCCATTCTTAATTCATTAACTTCTCTCTCCAAAGCTGTTTCTTAGTGTCAGCTAACTTTGTTAATAAAGATGGACCCATTCTCTCACTGGTTCTCCCTTTACTCTCATTTAACATAAACCAATATACTATGTAATTCAGTATATCATTTGGGAATTAAAACTTTTTCTTCTTCATTCCTTGTATAAGTACCATAAAGCACCTAAACTACTGGCAATGGTTGAAGTCCCTTGACCTGTACTCCTTGGAATGCAGGTGAGAAAGATACATGATAATGTACATTTGGAAAATCCTAGAGGGACTAATTCCAAATTTACACAGAAATCACTCCCTACAAAAGCAAAAGACTCAGCAGGTTGTGCAACATCCCCCCCAATGAAAAGCAAGGATGCACGAGTATGCTAAAAGACAACATAATAAAGAGTTAGGGGCCCAAGACTGTTCAACTGCCTCCCAGCATACACAAGACCCCCTGGGTGTCTTCAATAGGGAGCTGGACAGACAGACAACTAAATTCAGTACCTGAGCAGCTGGGTTGTGGTTTGTACATCAGTCTGCGTGCAGCCAGCAGTAACAGCCTGGTTGATCAAGCCCTGGATTCACTGCGAGGCCTGGTCATGGACCAGGCCGCAGGTGCACTGACCCCCGGAATACCCTCTAGATATACTCCAGGAAATTCCCACCTGCACCAAACCTCATACAACTACAAACATTAGTTGCACACTACAGCACTGCATGTTTAATCCTACTCAATACCTTATTAACCTTCTCCTGATTACCTATACAGCACACTCTAAAAAAAAAAAAAAAAAAAAAAAAAAAAAACGTGACTGGAACGATAAACAAATGATCCGCACATAGAAGAGAGGAGCTTACGACGATGTTTCGGTCCGACTTGGACCATTTAGAGTCACACTAAAGAAAAGGAGAGCAGGAAGGGCATATATAGGCAAGAGGTGGTGGTGGTAGTAGTAAGAAGAAGCAGAAGAAGAAGAAGCAGAAGAAGAAGAAGCAGAAGAAGCAGAAGAAGAAGAAGCAGAAGAAGAAGAAGCAGAAGAAGAAGAAGCAGAAGAAGAAGAAGCAGAAGAAGCAGAAGAAGAAGAAGCAGAAGAAGAAGAAGCAGAAGAAGCAGAAGAAGAAGAAGAAGCAGCAGCAGCAGCAGCAGCAGCAGCTGTTGTTGTAGTCATAGTTGTTGTAGTCATAGTTGTTGTAGTCATAGTTGTTGTAGTCATAGTTGTTGTAGTCATAGTTGTTGTAGTCATAGTTGTTGTAGTCATAGTTGTAAAAACTGTTGTAGTAGTAGTAGTAGTAGTTTTCGTAGTAGTGGAGGTGGAAGGTAGTAGTAGTGGGAGAGGTAGTAAGGAGGAGCCAGTCAAATACTAAGAGCTAGGTGCCCACAGAGGGTAAGAGCAAGAACATTGAGGGGGGGAAAATAAATAAATAATGAAGGAACAAATACACTAGTTCATTCACTTTCACTTCTCTCTTACACACTGGTACCATTCTCCTTATACATCATCTACCTCTTAACCTTACTGATGTGTTACCTCTAAAAATGTGTATTGTACACTTGCACACATCCAAGTCTACCCATTAATCTTTAAACTACTAATACAGCCCAGCAAACTCCTGTCATTGCTCACTTTCATGTATCATATACTCATTTATGTTTTCTTAATGTATTACATGTATTTATTACCAAACCTCTTTCTATATATAATTAAAGGCCCCATTATCATGTGCCCCTGGCAATCTAAACCTACCAACTATGCTACCCAAACAGCCTCCCACTACAGCATTTAGGTACACAAACCATTTTTCCTCTCACTTGGTTCAAAGTGATGTCTTATGTGTCATCCAAAGGGATGCTGCAATCTAATCAGTTATATCAGTTAAAAGGAATAATTTTTACTATCGCTGGCAAGTGTTTGTTTCATTTAGCTTAGTAATATTGATATCCTTTGTTTCCAATACCTCCCATTCTACAGACAACAGTTGATAAGACAAAAGTAATTAATGAATGTAGACTAAAAAGAGTTCAAGTAATACATTAAACATGTAAAACATATTTAGAATATCTAGAAAGAATATCTTGCTAGTGAAAACTTGGGCATTCCACTTATAACTTAAAAGTCTCAATGCAGTGGTAGAAATGTCAAGTAGTTCTGAAAACTTTTACTAAGTAATATTTGACTCTCATAACTCCATCAAAACAATACCAAAGTAATGTCAACTAATTAATTTCTTCAATATTTACTTACAATTATGTTTGTGAGTAATGAGTACAAAACAGACTATAGGCAAAGAGGAAAATATGAGAGCAGAAAGACTTATCAATTCAGCATTTTATAATAGAGAAAAAATGAAAGGAAACTGCCAAAAGGCTAATTCTCCAAATACAAAAGATGAGAAAGAAAAACCATTATGATAAAAAAACAATATGGTTTTGCATCATACGAGCCTTTGCTTATCTGGTTGCCACCTTGGCTCACAAACTGGGAAACCAGACTTCAATCCCTGGATGAATGAAAACACTGTGCATGTTTCCTTATACCTGCTGCTCTTGTTTGCTTAGCAGGACTGGGTGATGGGAGGCAGAAGGGGGATACACTCATGCACGGTTGTAAGGGGGAGGGAAAGCACACTGGTGATGAGTCTCCACACTTGCACAGGCCTGGCAAGAGAGACCTGCCCTTGTATGGTATCAGGGGAAAATAGGTCTCACTCACACCTGACTGGCAGGAAAGACCATCTCCTTAATAGACTCACCTAATGCCAGCAAATAATGGAGCCAACAAGACCTTACACAAATAATGAAGACCTGGTATGAAATACTGTATAACAGTACTGAAGACAGTTAATTCCAATCACAATCTAATCGAAGTTCAGACTTGTATACAGTGGACCCCCGCATACCGTTGGCATCACAATGTTAAATCCGCATACCGATACATTTTATGGCTAAGATTTTGCCTCGCATACCGCTAAAAAACCCGCTCAACGCTATTCGTCTGAGACGCGTCTAATGTGCGGCCTGAGCCAGCCTCACATGTTCCACCGGTGGCATTGTTTACAAGCCAGTCTCCGCGGTAACATCCAAGCATACAATCGGAACATTTTGTATTATTACAGCGTTTTTGGTGATTTTATCTGCAAAATAAGTGACCATGGACCCCAAGAAAGCTTCTAGTGCCAACCCTGTGGTAAAAAGGGTGAGAAATATTATCGAAATACTGTGGGACCATGGTCAACTGCTGATACTGCTGCTGCTGTAGCACCGTCAGCTGCTGCTGCTGCTGTAGCACCATCAGCTGCTGCTGCTGTACCACCGTCAGCTGCTGCTGCTGCTGCTGTACCACCGTCAGCTGCTGCTGCTGTAGTACCATCTGCTGCTGCTGTAGCACCATCTGCTGCTGCTGTAGCACCATCTGCTGCTGCTGTAGCACCGTCTGCTGCTGCTGTAGCACTGTCAGCTGCTGCTGTAGCACTGTCAGCTGCTTCTGCTGCTGTAGCACCATCAGCTGCTGCTGTACCACAGTCAGCTGCTGCTGCTGCTGCTGCTGTAGTACCATCTGCTGCTGCTGTAGCACCATCAGCTGCTGCTGCTGCTGTAGCACCGTCAGCTGCTGCTGCTGCTGCTGTAGTACCATCTGCTGCTGCTGTAGCACCATCAGCTGCTGCTGCTGCTGCTGCTGTAGCACCGTCAGCTGCTGCTGCTGTAGCACCGTCAGCTGCTGCTGCTGCTGCTGTAGCACCATCAGCTGCTGCTGCTGTAGCACCATCAGCTGCTGCTGCTGTAGCACCATCTGCTGCTGCTGTAGTACCATCTGCTGCTGCTGTAGCACCATCTGCTGCTGCTGTAGCACTGTCAGCTGCTGCTGTAGCACTGTCAGCTGCTGCTGCTGCTGTAGCACTGTCAGCTGCTTCTGCTGCTGTATCACCATCAGCTGCTGCTGTACCACAGTCAGCTGCTGCTGCTGCTGCTGCTGCTGTAGTACCATCTGCTGCTGCTGTAGCACCGTCTGCTGCTGCTGCTGTACCACCGTCAGCTGCTGCTGCTGCTTCTGTAGTACCGTCTGCTGCTGCTGTAGCACTGTCAGCTGCTGCTGTAGCACTGTCAGCTGCTGCTGCTGTAGCACAGTTGTTGGTGTGGCTTATTG